AGGAGTGTTGGCATTAGGTCTTCTTTGTATTTCTTGTAGAATTCTGCAGTGAATCCATCTGGGCCTGGGCTCTTCTTGGTGGGTAAGGACTTAATTACATTTTCAATTTCAGTAACCGAGATTGGGTTATTCAACAGTTTTACATCCTCTTGATCTAGCTTTGGCACTTCATATGCTTCTAAGAAACTGTCTATTTCTTCTGTGTTATCAAACTTTTGAGAGTAGAGGTTTTCAAAATAGGTGTTGATGATCTTCTGTATTTCTATTGGGTCTGTAGTGACTTCTCCTTTTTCATTTCTTATTGCATGAATTTGAGCTTTTTCTTCCCTTTTTTTAATAAGGTTGGCTAGGGGCTTATCGATTTTATTTATTCTTTCAAAGAACCAACTCTTTGATTTGTTGATCCTTTGGATTGTTTTCTTAGTCTCTATTGCATTGATTTCTGCTCTGATTTTTATAATTTCCTCTCTTCTTTTGGCTTTGGGCTTGACTTGCTCTTCCTTTTCTAGCTGTTTGAGGTGTAGCATCAAGTTATTTATTTGTATTCGTTCTGTTTTCCTGATGTGGGAACTCAGTGCAATAAATTTTCCTCTCAGAACGGCTTTCATTGTATCCCACAGATTCCGGTAAGTTGTATCTGCATTTTCATTTTCTTTTAGGTATTGTTTGATTTCTTCTTTAATTTCTTCTGTGACCCACTGATTACTCAAGAGTGTGTTATTCAGTTTCCATGTGTTTGTGGGATTTTTGCAGTATCTTTTATCATTAATTTCTAATTTCAGAGCGCTGTGATCCGATAACATGCAAGGGATGATTTCAGCTCTTTTGCACTTGTTTAAATATGTTCTATGAGCTAATATATGGTCTATTTTAGAAAATGATCCATGTACTGCTGAGAAGAATGTGTATTCTGATGTTGTTGGGTGGAACATTCTGTATATGTCTATCAAACCCATTTGTTCACAGGTATGATTCAGTTCTGTTATTTCTTTACTCATTTTCTGTCTGGTCGATCTGTCCCTTGGTGTCAATGGCGTATTAAGGTCTCCCGTTACAATTGTGTTACTGATAATTTGAGTTTTCATTTCTGTTAATAATTGTTTTATATAACTGGGCGCTCTGGAGTTTGGTGCGTATATATTTAAGATAGTTATCTCTTCCTCTTGGAGTTTTCCCCTTACGAGTATGTAGTGACCTTCTTTGTCCTTTATGGTCATTGTTGGTTTAAAGTTCACGTTGTCTGTCCTGCCTTTTTTTGGATTCCTGCTGCATGAAGAATTGTTTTCCATCCTTTGACTTTCAGTCTGTGAGTATCCTTCTGGGTTACATGGGTTTCCTGTAAACAGCATATGGTTGGATTTTGTTTCTTGATCCATTCTGCTAGTCTGTTTCTTTTGATTGGTGCATTGAGACCATTTACATTAATGGTTATTACTGTTAAATGTTGTTTAATTGTAGGATTCTTATCTCTCTGCTGTTGCATCTTTATCTTTCTGTTCTGTTTAATTATTTGCTTTGCTTAGTGGTTTTTTCCTTTGTGTATCTAAACTGTCTTTCAATATTTTTTGCAGGGTTGGTTTGGTGTTCATGAAGTTCTTCAGCTGTTCTTTGTCATGGAAGTATCGTATTTCACCATCTATTTTAAATGATAGTTTTGCAGGATATATCAGTCTAGGTTGGAAATCATTTTGCTTTAGGATCTGGAATACTTCACTCCATGCTCTTCTTGACTTTATTGTTTGTGCTGAGAAGTCTGCTGTGATTCTGATAGGTTTTCCTTTATAAGTGATCTGTCTTTTCTCTCTGACAGCTTTTAATAATCTATTCTTGTGTTGGATTTCTGGGATGGTGATTATTATATGTCTGGGTGTAGTTTTATTTTGGTTATGACTATTTGGAGTTCTATATGCTTCACTGATCCTGATGTCAGTTTCTGATCTCATGCTTGGGAAGTTTTCAGCTATTGCTTCTCTAAATATCCTCTTGATAACCTTTATGTTGTCTCCTTCTTTTTCGTTAATCCCTATCATTCTTATGTTATTCTTCTTTGCATCATCTTGCAGTTGTTGAATTGTTGTTTCCTGATTCCTTGTTATTTTTAAAAGATCTTTCCTTTCCTGTTCACTTGCTGCAATCCTGTCTTCAAGGTCTGAAATTCTATCTTCACTTTCATTAAGGCGGTTTTTACAACTTTCAGTGGAGTTTTTTATTTCCTGTATATCTCTGTGCATCTGCATTATGTATTCTGTTTGTTTCTTATATTGCTCGTCTAGGGATTCTATCTTTTTGTTTAATTCCTCCAATTTTTTATCTGTGTTTTCTTTAGATATATTTAGAATCTCTTTCATTTCTTTTATCATTTCTTCTTTTATCTGGGAAATTATTTCGAGTTTGAATTTCTTTAAAGCTTCCTGGAGTTGCTTGTCAACTTCAGTAGCTATTGTGTCTAATATATGAGGAGGATGGGATATATTTTCTTCTAAATACACTTCTCCTAGGGTTTCCTGAGATGGGCTGGAGGTTTGAGGTTGTAATTTGGTCTTTCGTTTTGTCATTTTCCTATATTTCTGTGTTTCAAGTGTTATTTGAAAGCCTCCTCAGGATCTGTTGAAAATCCCCTTCTATGTTTGCAGCTACTGAGACTCTGGCACCACTCTACCCCAGGCCATTGGGCCTGCAGAACCAATGGCCCTTCTCTGCTTGTTCAGAACTCCGCGGTTCCAGACAAGCTGGGCCTCAGGGACACTGTGCGCCCACCTGCCCCTTGGTAGATCCACAGCTCTTGGATCGCAGCCGGGTTAGGGTACTCACCACAGACCGCAGTGCCTCAGGAGCCTGTGATCCCTCCCTGCTTGCAGAGATATCCACAAACCTCCAGACAAAGGAAGGGCCTCCTGCGGGCACTCCGGATCTACCCCGCTCCTCCTCTGCACGCAGATGGCTATGCGTGGCTGGGCTCAGGCCGAGGTGCCTCAGGAACCCGGGACCCCTCCTCCTCCAGACAAAGGAAGGGGCCTCTGCAGGCGGCTCCGGATCTGCGCAGCTCCTCCTCCGCACACCGATGGCCAGGCGCGGCTGGGCACAGGCCGAGGTTCCTCAGGAACCCGGGACCCCTCCTCCTCCAGACAAAGGAAGGGGCCTCTGCAGGCGGCTCCGGATCCGCGCAGCTCCTCCTCCGCACACCGACGGCCAGGCGCGGCTGGGTACGGGCCAAGGTGCCCCAGGAACCCGGGACCCCTCTGGGCTACGGATTTAGCTCAGTGGCATAAGTGCCTGCCTGGCAAGTATAAAGTTGTGAGTTTTGATTCCCCGGTACCCCCCCAATATATATATATATATGATTTAGAATGTTGAGCATTTAGCCTCCTTTCAAGTTATTGGTTACTGAAGTTATACATAGGTATTCACTGATTTTATACCACAAGGTGGTATATTTATGTTTCATACTACAATAAGCTATTATATCAATCAAAAGATGAACATTACTTCCCATCACCTTTTGTTCTATCATTGCAGACTTTCCTAGATCCACATTCTCTGTTATTTAGTATTACATTAAGTAACTTATGTGTAAATGTGTTCCTATTACATTTATCTTTTTTTGTCTTCACACAGTCTCCTATCAGACCTTCAAAAAAGACAGTTTTGCTATGTATAGCAATTTAGTTGGTGGTTATTTCTTCCATGCAGAAATTCTTCATGTTTTTCTTTTCATTGATACAGAATTCAGGACCACACTAAATGGAGATATGGCACCAGAGGAACTTTAGAAGGCAGGTTTATTACATTAGTGGACTGGTAGGGATCTCCGTTCCAAAACATCAGCCCCAGCTAGAGTTTTCCAATCACTTACATATATTTCCAAAAGAAAGTATAAAGGCATATAACATAATATTCTATGGTTGGCTATTCATGTCTCTGTCACTAATTGCTAGGCATAAATCACTCTTACAGAAACAGTAACTAGATGAGGTTACTAGGGTACAACATAGAGGAAGAATTCATCACTGTCTGAGACCAAGAGAAATGTCCTTGTAGTAATAATACTTTGGGACTTGGAAGTAAGAGAAACATTTTTCCCTGGCTGAGCTACACTTGCAATGGGCACCCACAGTGTCAAGGCTTCTTAAGCTTGTAACTTTCTTTTTTGGTCTTTTTCCTTTTTATCGGTACCGGGGATTGAACTCATGACTGCCTGCTTTACAAGGCAGGCACTTACGTCGCTGAGCTAAATCCCCAGCCCCAAGCTTGTAACTTTCTAACCATGGGAACAGGCTGTGTCTTTTAGTTTCATCCTTGAACAGTGTTAGAAATACATTTAGTATTAGACATATAAGTTTTAAAATTTCCTCTACATCAAAATAGCCTCTACATCATTGCCAGATGACATTAAATCAAGCATCTTTTCAGACATTTGTAAAATACTAAAAGTTATTTGATACATCTCTGTATATGGAATATAAAATATCTTGATAAAGTGTGTTACTCTCGGGGTTTGGCACAATCACTGACAGGCAGGATAAATATCTTCCAGGGGATCAGCTTTAGGGCTACCAAACATCCCTAATCCATGTTACTGTTATGCAATCTTTTCTGTCTTGTGACTAATCCAAAATGCTAAGGCTCTAAAAACTTACCTGTAGAGTTTTAAGGTCAGTGTATTCAGAGTACCATAATATTTATAATAGCATCCTGTCACATAAGTCTGCGTTGCTACCCCACTCTCCTGCCAACTCTCCCGCCCCCTACCGCGTCGGTATTCCCTGCATTCACCTAAAGTCTCTATTTCTGAGATAATAGATTACACGCATCAGATAGTCGCAGCCCCTTTTAGATATAACAAGTTCCACCAATTTACCGTGGACTGACTGAGACTATATACCGAAGGTCACCCAAGTAACCATGCACCCTAAAAACATTGCCCTCGCGGCTCTAAGCCAATCAGAACACAACAAAGGGTTGTTTCCGTTGCTGGGCAGGGTGATAGGGCGGGACTTCCTGTTCCCGCCTCCAGCGGACATATTGTTTCCTTTCGCGTTCGTAGGTCAGTCACCAGAACGCAGTGTCAGGCTCCTAGTGACGGGACGGGAAAACGCGAGGGAAGGCGTTGTCGTCCAAACAGAAGCTGGCCTCAGACTCCACGGTGGCGCCGCCCGTGCGACCCAGCTCTGGGCCCGACCGGGGCCAGAGAGAATCCGCGATCCCCAACCCTGCCTCCTCTCCCCCTGGTCTTTAGGACTGATGGCTATGGCCGAGCTGCTGGACGCTGCGCAGGTGGGTCTTGCCCTGCTCCAGTGTCTGAATCCTGGTTTGGGCTTCTAGGTCCGGGGCAGTGGAAGCTCTGTGGTGAGCTCTTTTCTGACACCTAGTTATATGAGTGGTGGAAGGACGTCACGGCACCCGGGACCCGCATGTGCAGAAGCTGCGCTGCGGCTCCGCTGGAGTATTCGCGGGACCCGGGCATCTGGACCTCTGCTCAGGGGCCCATAGGAGCCATGGAAGCTTCTGAATGGAGGAGAAATGCAATGTGAGAATTTAGAGAGTACCTCGACTGTCCAGGAAAGAATAGTGTGGGTATGGAAAAGATGAGCTCAGTGAGGTATGCTAGGATTGAGAGCTAGTGCAAGGTAAGTAACATGGTAGTTCAGAGGTGACCCTGAAAACAGGTATAAAGGTAGTCAGTGAGTTCCCGGTCACTTTGTAGCAGAGCTGAAGTGAAGGATAGGCCAGAACCCTCCGGGTTTCTTTGTGATTTCTTGCTTCTCACAGTCTCTCTCTCCCCACAGGTTCCTGTGAACACAGAAGTAATTATGGGCCCTAAACAGGTGAGGGAAGAATGTCCCGTGGTCTCACTGAGTCCACCCTCACCTATATGGCCTCCAGGACTATGATAACATTAAAAAACAGTTTCCTAATGCTTTTTTAATTTCTTGCGGATGAAGACCCTAGAGAAATTCCTCAGTTCAGGGTCCTGTGTCCAGGCTAGGTGTGATATGGAGAAGTTCCCATTTGTACCAAAGGTTGGAATAAGGTCGGAAAATTGTTCTATGTACATGAGCTAGCATAAGCAAATACTTGAGGTGGCATCGAGATGGGAGTTGTAAAGAAACTGCATGTCATGTGGACAGGGTGGCACACACATATAATCCCAACACTTGGGAGGCTGACGCAGGAGGATTGCTGCAAGTTCAAGACTAGCTTGGGCTACATAGTGAGTCCATCTGGAACTACATAACATGACTCTAGACCCACCCACAAAATAAAACAAAATACCTTACAGAAGCTGCAGCTCTCTGCTATGTCTGTTAGAAACCAAAGACAGAGAGGCAGCACTCAGGCCTGAAATGGCTGACAGAAGTGCAGTGCCTCTTCCAGGGGTAATGGGAAGTGTGCAGCAGAGAAGGGAGTCAGTCTGACCGAGGTCTTAATAGCCTCCCTGCGGATGCCAAGCAGAGAGCTGGCTGGGTGTGATAAAAGGTTGTCGAGGTATGGTATGGACAAGGAGACCAGAAAGGAGGGTTACTACATTTTTCCAGAGGAATGGTGACAACAGATGGGCCAGAGGGGTGCCTGTGTAGACAGGAGAAGTGATTGAATTTTCTAATGTGAGATAAAAAAACAGATACAGCAAGGTTTTTGGACTTACCAGTGAGGATAGGAGCTCCATATCTTAGCAAGGCATGGCAGTGTTGGAAGTGTCTTTCATTGTGGATATCAGGATTTTATTTATGGCCATGTGAAAGTCTTAAGAGAGTCCAAAGAACACTGAGGGGAAGTATCTTGACTAGTGAAACCACAGGACTGGAGTTATATACAGGGGTTTAGTGTGGAGACAAACAAAAGTCAGGTGATGATGTAAAGACTGGGATTTAAGATGGAAAATTACACAGTGGTGGTGCAGTTAGTGAACTAGAACTATGAGGATGAAAGCTACCAACTGGATGGAGGGACAGAGTTGAGGGGCAATTACAAATTCAAAGAACAATATACACACAGACAGGAGCATAGACTGGTGGGTCCTGGGCCTTTGTACTGGGCTTAAGGGAGCCAGATGAGCCCAAGTTAGGCTGACTGCTTAGCATGATCCTAGCAACCCCAGAGGAATTAGCTGGCAGAAGTAGGGCCATGCCCTGAACTTAAATGGTCTACTTTTGCCTACTGCCTGTTGGTACCGTGAGTGGACATACTAGTAGGACTATGAGGAAAGAGCAGATACCGTATTAGCTGGTTCTGGTATTTCCTCTGATTTGAGGAGTTAGATAAATGGGGACATGGGTGGGAATCCTTGGCAGAGAAGTTGCTCATGGACTTGCCTCTCCCTACTGTGGCAGGGACAGGTGAACTTTGAGGACGTGTTCGTGTGCTTCTCCCAGGAGGAGTGGGAACTCCTTGATGAGGCTCAGAGGTTCCTGTACCGAGATGTGATGCTGGAGAACTTTGCTCTTATGGCCTCACTGGGTAAGGCCATCCCACCTACCCAGTGTCCTGGACTGCACTCTGCCCTTCCCTTATCCCTAAGGCAACTGTGTCCTTCGTACATCAGAGCCATAGGCACTACCACCTTCCCCAGTTCCCTGGAAGTACTCTGGATAATAGTTCTGAATGTGCCCTGCTGCCTCCTGCTTTTGAGTATTTGCAAATGATGGATCTGAGAATCAAGTCTTAGAATCAGCCCAGGGCATCATACTCATCTTGTCTCTTCCCTGACTAGGGTGTATCCGTATCCATGACACTTGAATGCCCTAGAATCTGCCCTCTGGCTGACATGCCTATGCCCAGATGTGCAATGATAGGTTTGGTCAGTACTTGCTAGGACTGATGGTCTAACACTCCTGTAAGATTATTTTCTAATACTCAGTTTTCTCCATTGTGCTGGCTCTTTGCCCATTCTGTTTTTCCTCCAGATATTCATCTTCCATATTCCATGTAGTTCCTTGACTAGGTGCACATGACTGTCATTGCTGGAGAGACTGTAGCTAGGTGTGGCAAGTACAGATGGGTAAAGGGTCATATCAGGGTTGTTCAACTCATTCCGTAACCTCTATGCCCATAGCTGTTTCAGTGTCAAAGCCATTAGCCACACTTCATCTCTTCTCTTTTGGGTACTGACCTGGGCCTCTCAACTGGTCTGTGTCCCTGCTTTTGTTTTTTTTTTTTTTTTTGTTTTTTTTTTTGGTCTTTTTATCGGTACCAGCGATCGAACTCATGACTGCCTGCTTGCAAGTCAGGCGCTTATGCCGCTGAGCTAAATCCCCAGCCCCTATGTCCCTGCTTCTTCATCTCAGCTGTTCCTCTCCATTTCTGTCTTCGCAGTGCTCTCCAACACTGGCCTGTGCTCAGTGCATTGTGAGATATGCACATACCCTACATGGTCCTTAAATACCACCTAGTAGCAGTTTGATTTTCTTGAGCATGAACATAGCCCCTCTGCACCTCTCACGTGTCCATAGCTCACAAGGAAATCTGATGATGAAAGGCTTCACCAGACACCCTACCTCTTTTTCCTGTGTTGTACCCCACATCTCTGTCTTTTCCCTGTCAAGGCTGCATCTATTCTACAACCATGAGCTGTCAGCTACTACACAGCAGGCATCACTGAAGCATAGGCCCCTAACCTGACTTCCTGTCATCTACAATGTTTGTTGTGTTAGACACACATTGTCCCCTTACCTGGGTCAATCTGCACTTCACCAGCATTTTTCTGCCTGCAGGTTGTTGGCGTGGAGAGGAGGATAAGAAGATACCTTGTGAGCAGAGCGTTTCTATAAAAGGAGTATCACAGATCAGGATTTCTAGGGGAAGCCCATCTACTCAGAAGGCTCATTGCTGTGAAATGTGTGGCCTGGTACTGAAAGATGTTTTACATTTGGCTGAGCACCAGGAAGCACATGCTAGGCAGATGGGTGTAGTATGTGGGAAACGGTTGCAGTTTACTGCAAATGTTCACCAGCACCAGAAGCAGCATGGTGAAGAGAAATCCTTGAGAAAGGAAGGCAGGACTTTTCTTCACAATTGTCCTGTCCAGCCCTCACCGAGGCCTTTTGTAACAGGGGAGAGCTTGAAGGACAGCAGCCCAAGAATTTTCCAGCACCAGACCCCTCACAGTGAGTGGGGCCTGCATGGCAGTAGCACAAGGGAAGATGCCTTTTACAGTGGCCGAAGGCAGTACAACTGCAGTGAATGTGGGAAAGCCTTCAGCCGAAAAGATTCACTTGTTCAACACCAGAGAGTCCATACTGGAGAAAGGCCCTATAAGTGTGGTGAATGTGGGAAAACCTTCAGCCGCAAACCTATACTTGCTCAGCACCAGAGGATTCACACTGGTGAAATGCCTTATGAGTGTAGTATTTGTGGAAAGGTTTTTAATCATAGTTCTAACCTTATTGTACATCAGAGAGTCCACACTGGAGCAAGGCCATATAAATGCAGTGAGTGTGGGAAAGCCTATAGCCACAAATCCACACTTGTTCAGCATGAGAGTGTGCACACTGGAGAAAAGCCTTATGAGTGCAGTGAATGTGGGAAATACTTTGGTCACAAATACAGGCTCATTAAACATTGGGGTGTTCACACTGGAACAAGACCTTATGAGTGCATTGCATGTGGGAAGTTCTTCAGCCAAAGTTCTGATCTTATTGCACACCAAAGGGTTCACAACGGTGAAAAGCCATATGTGTGTAGTGAATGTGGAAAGGCCTTTAGCCACAAGCATGTGCTTGTTCAGCACCATAGGATTCACACTGGAGAGAGACCATATAAATGCAGTGAATGTGGGAAAGCCTTCAGGCAAAGAGCGTCCCTTGTCCGGCACTGGAAAGTTCACACTGGGGAAAGGCCTTAAATTGGCGGGAACTATTCCATCTCATTGACAACTGACACCAGAGAAAAATTCAGTAGTCTTGTGCACTATTAGCCAGAATTGGAGCGTCATACATCTGAATACCCACACTGAGGAAATCTTAAGTGCCAGCTACATGGGAAGCTTCCTGGGGCCATGTTGCATTTTTTGTCTGCTAAGCCCCTTGCCAAAATTCTACCACTGCCATTGTCTGACAGAAGTCATCTTTGCACTAGCAGAGTCCTGCCTTGTGCACATCAGTAATTTAAAAGGTGTGCCTCTGTGTACCTCCTCCTTGAAATCATTAGAAGCCCATCAAGGACTTTCATTCTTGTCTGTCCCACCCAAGTTGGTTTAAGCATAGATACGGCCCAGTTTTGGCCAGGAGAATTCTGTGAGCTGTCTGCCCATTGCCCTCCTTTAGGGACATTGTTGGTCTCATGTAGCATTTGTAATGGGTTGTCTAATCCCCAAGGCACCTAATTCAAAATCTGCCTTGTCTTCTGGTGTGACGCCTTAATTTTTGCACTCCCTGTAACCATGAGGTTCTTTTCACTCCGTGAGTGGAACCTCCGTGAGAATTGAGCTCCACAAGCATGAAGGGATAAACAACTTTGTGAGAGCTATAGATGCATGTGTGTCTCATAGGTGATAGAAGGGCAAAGAATAGCTCTGATCCAGTGTCTGCCCATTGTGCATTGCTGCATAAGTGCTTCTAAGAAAGAATAATGATTGTCATGGGCAATCTTGAATTCTATGGCAAAATTATTTGAATGATCAATGTCACCCTGGTGAGTGGGCATTTATTGTGACAATCTCTAATGTGTCTGAAGGCAGATTGAATTGAGTTCCCTTGGTTTCAGAATATATTTCATATTTCTCAGCTCATTTGAAAACTTGACCCTTTGAGCCCTGAAGTCTTTCATTCAGTAGGCAAATACTGGACCAGCTCAAAATCATAATTAGTGCAGGGACACTGATATGGATTTGGAGACAACAACAAACTACAGGGAATCCAACCCAAGAGTAGCTGGGCATGGTCAGAGACCCATGAAGTCTAGGTTACTTGGGAGGCTAAGGCACAAAGATTGCTTGAGCCCAGGAGTTTAGAACAGCCCAAGCAACATAGCTGGACCGTGCCTCAATGAGTAGAAGTTATCCACGTGCATTCCATCCCTATGGCTTGGCAGAAAAGAACTTGCAGACCTGTGTATTTTCTGCAACAAACCACATAGTAGTAGTGTGTGGTTTCATAACTTTTGGTGCACATTTTGCACTACTGAATCCAAAAGTTGCCCAATTCTCTTTATAAAGGCTCCTGTCCCTAGGAGACCACTGATTTGCTGCCACTCGAACTTATACATGTGGAATAATGCAATATGCACTCAAGTGTAGTTGTTTAATTTTGCATAATTACTTTGATTCATCCATTTTGTTCTGTGTCTCAGTAGTTTGTTCTTTTGTTAGTAGTCCACTGAAGATAATTAGTTTCAAAACAAGTTATCTAGAGAGAACTCAGAAGAGCTAAGCCATAGTCTGCTGTAACTTAACCTGGACCTGCTGTGCAGCATTTCTGATACCTTCAGTAGGTGAATGGACTCATTCTGCTAAGGTGGAAGGGAACTGTATGAAAGTGAGAATGTAAGGTAGGAATTTACAGAGATTTTCACTGGATGTTAGCCAGAAGAGAAGCCTTCCTTGAAAAAGGATGGGGCTTTTTCTTAGATACTGATAACTACTTTTTAACTTTTTTTTTTTTTTAGATAGGGTCTCACTATGTAGTACTGACTGGCCTCAAATTCATAGCAATCCTCCTGCCTCAGCCTGCCTTCAAGTCCTGAGATTATCTATGTGTGTCATTACACCCAGTTCTTTACTCTTTGAATGGCAAATTAAATTGACCGATATCCCAGTCCTTGAATTTCTGGGGAAATGTCCATTTGGTAATGATGTTTTTGTTTGTTACTTTTAGGTATTGCTGGTAAGTGTTGAATTTGATTTGTTTTTTTTCTTTTTAAATATGTTTGCATCTATATGCATGAGGGTTGTTAGTTGATAATTTTCTTTAATGCTGGTTTGGTTTTGGTATTCTGCATAATGTTATCTTTACCAAGTAAATTGGCAGATACGCCTTACTGCTGAATTTATGGAAAAGTTGCTATTTCTTTCTTAGATGTTTGGAAGTATTTGCCAGTGAGACAGTATGGTATGAGTTTGTTTTGCAGGGAAGTTTTTAAGTGCAAGTTTAATGTCCATGATAGGTAAAAGGCTATACAAGTTTTGAATATATGAACACACATACCCACATTTCAGGTGAAAAATATCTTTCTAAACATATGAAATTAATAAGTAAGTCTTATAAAATTGCACAATATATATCCCCCAATAGAATGAGCTTTGATAAATTGTGTCTTTTAGCAAGTTTGTCTATTTTATTTAAGTATTTGATTTACATTTTGAAAATATTACCTTATTGCTAGGAGTATGTAGAATCTGTACTAATTCCCACTAATACTGGTTTGGCTTTAGTTGTTTTTCTTTTTTGTTTTGTTTGAGACAGGGTCTCATTATGTAATTCCTGCTTGATTTGGACTCATTGTATAGCCCAGCCTGTCATCAAACTCAATGATCCTCAGCTTCCCAAGGCCTGCACCATGACATCCAGCCCCTAAAGCTGTTAATATCCATACAGTGTTACTATTTTATTCCTGATCAGTTTGGATAGAAACTTATCAGTTTTACTGATTGTATTACAGTACTTGGTTTCATTATATTTTTTCCACTTTCTTTTTTTTTCCATTTTGCTTTTTTTTTGGCAAGGTCTTGCTGTGTACTGTAGGCTCACCTTAAACTCTCTTACATAGTCCAGGCTGGCTTTGAACTCAAGGCACTTTCTCAGCCTCCCTCCCAAGTGCTGGGATTACAGAGGTGCCACACCTCTCCTCGCTTGACTTTTTACTTTCATTTTCAGCTTTTGCTGAATTTCATTTCTCTTTTTCTACTTTTTTATTAGAAAGAAGTCCTTCATTTGAAACCTTTGTTTTATTCCTAAAGTAATTATACAATGCTAAGCTTACTCCTTTAAGAACTGTGTTAGTTTGTGTTAGATGTCTAACACAAAATTTGATGTATTATATTTTCATTTTAGTTAAGTTTAAAATCTTTTGCAGCTTATATCTGAATTTCTTTTTTGATACACGGCTCTCATTAGAAATGTTATTTAGTTTCCAAATATTTGCTTACTTTCTTTATGGGATTTCCGGTTTAATTCCACTGTAGCATGTATGCTTTATGAGTTGAATTTTTTTTTATGAGTTGAATTATTGACATGTATTGGGACTTGCTTTCTTGGCCCAAATATAAGCTACTTGGCAAGTGTTTCAGATTCACTTGACATGAATGTAATGTACTCTTGTTCAATGAAAAGTCCTACAAATGCCAGAGGCTACAATGTCTAATTAGTGTAAATTTTTTGTGTCCTGAGTTTCTGTGTTTGGATTGTTTGTATCAATTACTTGAAGAGAATGCTTGAATATAAAAGTAGACTTAAATTTTTCTTACATATTCTGAAGTCATTGAATTGAGTAAATATTTTCTATTATGTCTATTTAGTGAGTTGATTTCTGTCATCATCCTCTACAGAATGTTCTTTGCTTTAAAAATCTACTTTGTGTAATACTGTTAACTTGCATTTATTTTGATTAGACCTTGAATTTTGCTGTTCTGGAGAATGGAAAATATTTTGCATCTCTATAAATGATTTTTTTTCTCAGTTACCCTGTCAAGTTCCTAGGAAACAATATGATCTTTTTGGATCTCAACTCTAAGCATTTTTAAGGGGCACTGTTGTAGCATTTATTTTAAAGCTAATTCCCTATCCTCTATTATAGCATAAACATTGTACATTCATTCTCTTCTTGATAATTCCTGAATTATGCGGTTTTCCACTCAAGCTGGCTAGGCCTGGATATTCTGGTTTCTGGATAAGCTTTGAAAATTATTAATGTAATCCTTCAGTTGATTTTTTTACTTGTCCTCTGATGGTTCAGTGTAGGTATATACCAATTAGTACTCTACTGAATTTGTGGAGATGTCTTTATGTATATCTCTTAAGTTTTTTCCATCCCATTTCTATATAGACTCCAACTACCCAGGTGTCAGATTCTGCCTCCATAACTCACAACAATTTTGGGATTCTTCTGGGTTCTCCATACTTGCTCTACAGCCTGAGAATTTATTTTCACAGTAACCTAATACATTGATTTATCTCACATCATTTGCTTGCCTAATGAGAATGCAATGTACTTTGTCATTTTATTTAGCTTTTCTTTTTTCTTTAGTGATAGGATTACAAGCATGCACTACCATGCCCAGCTTTTCTGTTTTCTTGAAAAATCTATGAGCCAAGCTGGGGATTTAGCTCAGCATCATAAGTGCCTGCCTGACAAGCACAAGGTCGTGAGTTCGATCCCTCATACCAAGCGGGGGGGAGGGGGGGAATCTATGAGCCCCCAAAGTAAATACTTTGACTATAACAGCAAAATCAGTATACTTCCAACCAAATCAGATAAAAAAGAGAACCTGAAAATTACAAATGTGACCAAGGAAAGATGATATAGTATTGAAATATTCTTGAAACATACAATAGATTAAGTGTGATTAAACAACTTTTTCTTAATAAATTTAAATTTGGATAAGAAAACTCAATTTAAAATATCTACTGATCAGGCTCATTCAAGAACAAATAGATGGCCAGGAGAGATGGAGCATACCTGTAATCCCAGCACTTGGAAGGCTGAGGCAGGAGGATTGCTGAGAGTTTGAGGCCAGCCTGAATTGCATAGTGAAACCCTGTCTCAAAAAGGCAAAAAAGGGGGCAGGGGATTTAGCTCAGCAGCATAAGTCCCTGCCTTGCAAACGTGTGATCGTGCATTTGATCCCCAGTACAGGGGGCGGGGGGGGGGTGGATCTGAAAAATCCTTTCTGCTAAAGGTAGTGTTTCCAGACTACTAATAATACTAATATTTGTTTAAACATAAGGAATCACCAAAAATTTGAGATCAAAGTGGCTTCACTAATGATTCTACCAAGTAGTTAATGAAGTAATAATTTATATCCTATTAATATTCTATTAAATTCTTACAAGATATTAAACAAAGGTGGTACATTTCCCCACTAATTTTGTGAAGTCACTGTTACTCTCAGAATAAAAGTAGGTATGGGGCTGGGGATTTAGCTCAGTGGCATAAGCTCCTGCCTTGCAAGCAGGCAGTTGTGAGTTCGATCCCTGGTACCGATAAAAAGGAAAAAGATTAAATAAATAAATAAAAGTAGGTAATGGTACTAAAAACTACACACCAAAAGTGACATAAATGTAGACACCAAAAAACTGAGCAAAACACTTAAAGAATTTTTAGCAAATTAAATCTCATGCATATCTATGACACATGTATGGAATGCCCAGATGGCTTAACAATTGGAAATTTAATGTAACGTTAAATAAGTGTAATATAAAAAGGAATACATCTTGTCTTTGGCCCAGGAAAATTCAGAATAACTGCTGGTCACCAGAAATGCCAACCACGTCATTAGAGGATTAAAACGTTTGTCAAAATGTCCTTTGGGAAGGAAAAAGATTGATTAAATCATAACCACATTACCAAGCACAATCATGACTACGAAATGAGACTCCAGTCAAACCTCTGGATGCTTGAGGCTGGGGATTTAGCTCAGTGGCATAAGCACCTGCCTGACAAGCACGAGGTCGTGAGTTCAATCCCCGGTACCAAAAAAAAAAAAAAAAAAAAAAAAGAGCTCTGGATGCTAAGGCTTGGTTACTTTGGCAAATACATCAAAGTTCCAGGTGAAGCCATGGAATCTCCACATCTGGGGTCATCCTACACCTTGCCTTATGTGTTCTCCATTTAGCTTTTCCTGAGTCTTACGCCTTATAACAAAAATAAAATTGTAAGTAAAGGTAGCACTCTGAGTGAGTTCAGTGAGTCATTCTAGCATTGGTGCTTCTTAGCCCTTCTCTCCCTTACTCAGCCAACATTTCCTGAACACCTACTCTGGGCCTCCGAAGACAAAAAGAAACAGTAGTGTCTTTTTTCATGAAGTACCTGCTGGAAGAACACAGGCAGGAGATTAGAAAACATGGTGAAAATTACTTCAGTGTCACTGCGGTAGCTGAAGAGAGCAAAGGCAACTAGCGAAAACCATGATTGTGTTCAGTTATGAAAGATAAATGGGATTTGCTTACTTGGTGAGAGGCCAGGTAAGCATAAGTAAAAAGGCACTGGGAATCTGTCAAGACTTGTCATTGATGGACAAAAGGAACTCCTAGAGACCTTCTACAAGCAGAGAACTTAGAAAACTGAGCTGTACTTTTGGAATTGCTATGCCACACAGAGATGAGGTCAACACTGTCTGCTGCATAGCAGCTGGGGAAGCCAGGACTCATCTGTAACAACTTGGGAGGCCAAAGTGTGCTTTTACTCACCTTTCAGCACAGCTGAAAAATCCTTTCTGCTAAAGATAGTGTTTCCAGACTACTAATAATACTAATATTTGTTTAAATATAAGGAATCACCAAAAATTTGCACGGTTCCCCAGAAGCCAAATTCACAACTCCATCCTTCACCTAGCTACTTATACCCTGTGGAGCCATAAAACATTTTCCCCCCAACAGCCATTCAAATTTGGAACATTTGTGGTACAATTTGCAGTGTGTCACATACTTCATCTCACTCAATTGTCCAAAACCTCATGTAAGTATTCCTGCCCACCCACACTTGGCAGTCCAGGAAACTAAAGCACATGCTGTGTCACATCAGCAGGCCAGTGTCCTGCATTGCTTTCCATTACTCCAGGGTTTCTCCAACTGTAGTTCCTGCACTTCTTGCACCAGGAGTACTGGGCTACTCGTTGCAAATTCGGATTCTTGGAGGCCGCCCCAGACCTCCTGAACTACTTCTGGGAATAAAAGCAGAGAATCCACTTTGTGTTTTTTTTTTTGTTGTTTTTTTTTTTTTTTTTTTTGTCTTTTTCCTTTTTACCGGTACCGGGGATCAAACTCACAACTGCCTGCTTTCAAGGCAGACGCTTATGCCGCTGAGCTAAACCCCCAGCCCCTGAGAATCCACTTTGGAACACAGCTCATTTAATACCTAAATCCATTAGTATGGAGCCATGCTGTAATTTGGCTTAAAATGTCCTCTTTGTATTTTCACTGTGTTAGGAGGAGATTTTGAGCACACTTGACTTCAAAATTGCACTATTTTTATAGTGACATGAACTAGTGCCCCAAGCATGATGATGACTTCCAGATGTCTGGGAAGCATCCCTCCCAGAGGGGTGACAGGAGCTATTGGGATGTTTCCTGGAGGAAGTCAACAGGCTCTCCATGGTATTCTGCAGGGGCTGGTTCACTGCCCTTTTTGTATTCTGAATACTTGTGTTGGGTGTGGCTGCCAAATCTTTCTCAGGATTGGAAGGCTGATTTTTTTTTTTTTTTTTTGTACTACTAGTTTCCAGAACTCTTGCTATAGCCAAGTCCCACATTTTCTGCTAGATATTGCAAATCCTCTTTATCTCCAATCTGTCTCTGGTGAACATAGGCCACTCTGTGTACACCATGGACATGCAGGAGAAGCAGAAGCTACAGGAAGCAGAGAGAGCCCAAGTTTAAGGTACTGATTCTGATTAGGTCCAGGTGGTGGCAAATCCAGAGATGTCCACTTGTGAAGATGTGAATGAAAAGACTGTCCTCGGGGCTGGGGATTTAGCTCAGCGGCATAAGCGCCTGTCTTGCAAGCAGGCAGTTGTGAGTTCGATCCCCGGTACTGATAAAAAGGAAAAAGACTGTCCTCCAGGCCTCTCTGCTCAACATCTATATCTGTTTGTTTCACATTAAATCATACATACAGTAACATAGTTATAGCAGAAAAAACCAGGTCTATGAGTTTATCAGACACACCAGACCAAAAAATGCAACCCCCTCACCTGGGCCATATAAAAGGAGGGACATTCAGCAATGGAGTATGGTGGTGCCACACTGGCCTGTCATCATACCACCTGGTAAACACATAACAAGATCAAAAGGCCACGAACCCAGGATCTCTTGCCGTCCGTCTCAGCTCAGCTAAGATCAGTTTCCTTGCTTAATAAAGCACATTCACACTGCAAAATCAGGCTTTGAACCAACTGCACTCTCAACAAGCTCCATGTCTCCATGCAGAAGCTAATTTTAATCTAGCTACCAGAAGTGACTTCCCACACCTCTGTAGACACTCTGCTTGCTGTATTGGCTACCAAGTGAGCCTTGAGTACTTGGCCTGACAAGGCTGACAAAATTGATGTAGCTCATGAAATTGTCATTCAGTAATGGCTCCTTGTGAAGAGACAGGCACGTGTGTACTATATTACTGATGTAACTTGGTCAAAAATCTCAAAAGTTGTTCTGTGGGGTGTGGTGGCACACACCTGTAATCCCAGCACGCAAGAGGCCGAGGCAGGAGGATTGTTACAAGTTCAAGACCAGCCTGGGCTACAAAGTGAGCCCAAGGCCAGCCTGAACTGCATAGCGAGACCCTGTCTCAAAAAGACAAAAAAAGGTTTATTCCTCTTTAAATAGACTATTTTTAATGAATTTGTGAAGTTCAGTATGTTATGTTATAGCAATGGTGGTAAACTTATGGCACCTGTGCCACCGGTGGCCTTTGTTATTAACAGCTTTTAAAGATTTGCCATCACTGCTGTGAGACAGTAAGAGTTGGCAGTGTCTGGAGAGAAGTCATGAGGCCTTAGCAGTGGTCAGAAGCAGCTGTGACTGTGATTGGTTTCTTCAGAATAATCCAGAACTGGTGATGGGATTTCAAGAAGTGAAACTTTCATCCAAATATTATTTTTCTTTCCATACCCTGATGCACATTCAGTTATTTTTTAGGTACTAAAACCTATCTGGGAAAAAAGGGTTCAGTTACTACAAGCCATTTTCCACCAGGACTGTGGTAATCACAGTCAGCATATTTAGGAAAACAGTATCTAAATCTTGAGATAGCTAGAAGAAAAATTTTCAACAAAAAAGTACTAAGTATTGAGACTCAAACTCAGTGGAACTCCGTAACAGAGCTACATCCTTGGTCTTGTTACACTTTTTTACACTCTCAACTACAGTACCTGGGATTACAGGAAAGCAACACAACATCTGACCTCAACAAATTAGTTTCTTAATACAAATATGGACTTGTGATTCAGGCAGCACTCAGAATGCAAAGAAACAGATCTCTGATCCTCATGAGCTGTAATCTTTTGGAGACCAAACAGGTAAGCAAAGCAGAGCACTGATTGGCTATAGCCAAGTTTGCCTTATTGTGGGTGGTGAGATGAAAACTTTGCCTTAATCAAATGTGGTCTAGTGGGAGGTTGCTTGTATAATCAATGGGCTTAACAGACTTTTATGAATACCTGGAGCTCATTTTTGACTTTTAGCCAATGTCAGTTATAAGAAATGATTCCAGGTTAAGTTCAGGTTTGCTTACACAATAGAGACTACCTCGTTACAGGTATATATTCAAACAAATAACCTTACTTTGATGAGATAAAACAATTATAAGCCCCTTTCCTTGCTGACATGCAAATGTAATTTCATATGTGATTGCAGTGACAAAGCATGGGGAGCTTAAAAGATGTCAGGAAAATATTACCAAGATTAATAATTATATAGTTAACCAATCTTAGTGGCCAACACCAGAAGTGGAAAGGGAGGAGAATGAATTCTTTCTGAGAGCCTTTTGTAGGAGTGCCGGTCTACCAAACTTCTGGTCTCCAGAACTGAGATAATAGAATACCTCTGCAGAAATATGTTGAAGGCATGTTGGAAAGGGCAAGATCTCAGGAAGGTATGAAAAGACACCAATGCCTAAGGAGTGCGGACAGTAAAGGTTAAAATTCTGCTACACAGGAAGTTTGGGTCCCATGAAGCTATTGCAATCTAGATGTAATTTATTTTAATCATCCTTGAGTACACTGAGAATAACACCTTGAAGAGATACAAAGACCAGTTGTTCCAGAATGCAAAACACAAGAGAAGAATCACTGGTAACATTTATTTCCTCCTACTTACCCAGTAAGTTCCTACTGGGTTTCAGGTGCTATTGTGGGTCTATGGGTCACATCAGAACCCAAGCTAAAATACCCTCACTCTCATGTGGCTTTCATTTTAGGCAACAGGAATGCAGAGATCATTTTAATGATGTGGTCAATTATATTTTTATGCTATGGATAATTATAAGAAATTGTTAAGAATGCTATGAAAAAAGGGAGTATATTCTTGTAATTAAAATATTTTCCACTGATTATTTGTCCTGAGTGGGGAATGTAGACAGCAGGGAAAATGATCTTGAAGAATTTTCAATTTTATTTAAATGAATCAGGGAGCCATGACATTGATTTGAATAGAAGACTTAATTATTTAGGGCTATTACATTGAGAGTTGTCAGCAGCTGGTAGACCATTTAGAAGCATGAGTAAAATGCATCTATTATAGTGGAATGGTAGTAATGACTGAGTCAGTAGTAATGGTCCTGAGATGTGGTCAGTTTTTGACATTACTGGAAAGGTGAGCTAAAAATTTCCTTACTGCTTGGAATATGGGCTATGGGAGAAATACATGTGTTATGAGATAGTATCTCCTTTTAAATACCTCTGCAATAATAAGCAGACTGAAGAGAATCAGGAGTTCCTTTGATCAGGACTGGGTTTCCGAATTAGAAGAGGAGTATGTTACTTAGCATTCCATGGCTGTGACAAAATACCTAGGGAAAACAGCTTAAGAAGGAAACATTTATTTTGGCTTATGGTTCCATAGGTTTCCGTCCACAAAAGACCGGTTTCATTTCTTTGGACCTGAAGTTAGGCAAAACATCATGGCAACGCTATCTCCCCAAGGACAGGCTGTGGGGCCCCTGATGGTCAGTAGGCGCTGTATCTCAACAAGCTTGCTGGCCGCTGGCCTAAGCACAGATAAGTTAGACAGGCAGCCTTTGGCTGTGTTGCAGATTGTGGAGGTAGTTACGCCCTGAGCAGCACTACTGGGGAATGGGCCAGGGCCACAAGGTCAAAGCAGCCCCAGGGAAGCAGAAAAAGTGACACTGGCCTTTTACCCCAGTTAGAAGGCTGACTTGGGTTTTGGGGAATCATAAGGGACTGGAAGCCACATGTAGAACTATTTACTGCCTCCCCCGCAGTGTGCAGTGTGTACAATTGATGGATACTGGAGCTGAGCCAACACTAATATACAGCAACCCAACCCATTTTACAGGACCTACTGCATGCATAGAAGGCTATGAAGGTCACTATGTCATGGCACAGAAGGCCCAGGTGACTGTGAGTATTGGACACTTGCCCCAACACCTGTGTGATGTTTATGCTTCCCTGGTTGCTAAATACATACTAAGGGTGGCCATACTAACTGGTGTTTTGCTAACACCGTGCAAGGAGAATTTTGGTTGTGAATTTGCATGGTAAAAACCATATTTCAAGGTCATCCACATCACATACCGCTGATTCCCACAAGTCGCAGGCGTGGTGTGCATGAAGCGGTCCCAGCTGCCTGGAAGTCATGAAGCAATGAGACAGGCTGTCTTAAAATTGGAAAATGGAGGCATGATATGCCCTGCACAGAGCCCTTCACTAAGGCCCACGCAGAAGCCAGACAGGTCTTGGCCAGCAGCTGTGAAGTCTCACTGATGCTGGCAGGGAGGACCAATTTGCCTTCCCCAGGAGGGCAGGCAGTGGACCTTCCAGAAGGCTACTGGCATAGCACAACTTTGTGTCATGGCCTGGTGGCCCAGCACCTGGACACCTGGAAAAAGCCAGTGTATCACTGTTTTGTATTGATAATGTTAATCTGATTTTCTTTCAGATCTGAAAGCTGCCATGCACAGTCTGAAGAAAGTTTTGCTGACATGGGTGCAGGCCATGGACAAAGACAAGGTCCGGGAACTGGCTTGTCAAATTCTTGGGTGTTACATGGTCAAGTAAGACCAGACCCACAACAGCACACCAATTACAGGCATCTGTGGGCTTCCTAGACTTCTGGCAGGAGTACTGTCCTAGGAGGGCTGGGTCTGTGGTGCTTGCTCCTGGTCAGATGCCAGTCCTAGCAGCATCGCATATGCAGCAGTCAGCATTTTCAGTCAGATGCTATGCCTATCATTGCAGCACCTGGTCAAGGCACCTGTTAATTCATTTCCTGTGAGGGGAGGGGCTTATGTCCAGCAGAAGTACCATGTCGTGCCCTTTATACCAGACGATCAAAAGGGCACAACACAGGGCTGAACAGATGCAGCAGAAGCTAAGACTTAAGAGGGCTGCTGCACAGGTGCAAGCCCTATGCATCATTGACCCTAAACATCAATGTAAATGAAAATGGGTTTGCCTACGGCCTGTGGAAAACACAGGGAAAACAGAAGCAACCTGCTAGTTTTGGTCAGTTGTGGAAGGAAGCCAAGAACCTGTATTTCCTTATTGAAAAACAGCGCTGTATAATGTTGTGCGTGCCTGTGGGTAATCACAGGACAGATGGAGGTCTAGGTATGGATGTCCCAACAGCGGGGTGGCACAGACCCTCTCTCACACGTTGGGGGATGCACCTCCAATGGCAGGCCTCTTTCTCAACTAGCTTGTTGGCAGCTAAACCGGCAAAGTTTTGGGACTCTTGATATACACAGCCCAGGAACCCGTCCAGGACAGACTACAAGAATTGCCCCTTGTCCTTGTGCAGAAGGAAAAGAGGGACCTACAACTGATGCTGGATTAACTAATGGCTCTAATCATGACTCAAACCCACAATGGACAGTGGTCACTGTCCAGTCCAGTCCACAAGTACTCTGGTTTGAAACCAGAACAGGCAGGTCAACCAATGTGCATGGTTGTAGAGTATGATTTGTTGTGATGCATGAAAGAAACAACCTACATGTGTGCATGGCAAGCTGGGCCATCTTGAGGGGCTGTCACTTTGGCTGCCAGCTTGGACTGGTAGGAAATGACAGATAAGGGCACTGTTCCTTGTTGGGTGCCAACCTGTGGTGAGACGTATGGAGCATGGTTAAAAGCTGACCAGGTGGGGCTGGGGATTTAGCTCAGCGGCATAAGCACCTGCCTTGCAAACAGGCAGTCGTGAGTTCGATCCCCAGTACCGATAAAAAGGAAAAAGACAAAAAAAAAGCGGACCAGGTGTCATGGTTCTGGACATAAACCCCTCCTCTCATGGGAAATGATTCACCAGGTACCTTGACCAGGCACTGCAATGGCTGCCCACTAGAAATAGCATCTGACCAAGAGAAAGAACCACAGACCCAGCCCTCCAATTGAAGCCCTTGTTCAACATATGGCCCAGACCTTGAATGTTCCATGCCAGACTTTGACGTTATTTATGGATGAAACTGATCAAATGAAAAAAGTGGTTTTACAGAAACACATGACTTCATTTGGTAACTACAAGTAGTTGTGCCCCTTACATATATGTTACATTCACATAACCCCAACTTTAGAGGGGGTGGCATGTGGGGAACTGCTTTGAAACTCAGGGGCATCTAAGACCACCTGAGGACATGACCCTACTCATCTAGTGCAGGCACACACTATGTAACCATGACTTAACATAGGTTAAACACATATTTGTTGGTTACAGCACTATGTAAGAATATAAACATGAGATAACTTGTATGAGAAATTGTACAATAAAGATGCAGGCAGCTTTCTTTCACTCTGCTGTGCTCCATGCCACCTGCTGTTGTTGCTGACACCTTGTACATATGAATCAAATCTCCCTTGGGGTTCCCAAGTTATCTCCACACTCATGCTCATTAGCATTATCATCAAAATAAAAAGGAGCCCAAATGGCCATTGATGGGAAAATGAATACAGAAAAAGGGCTACATGCATAAAATGGAACTTTAATGTTTTTTAAAAGGATAGAACTTGTCATGATTATGACATGATGGTAAGTGAAATAAGGCACAAAGGAATTAAGAAAAGGCAGAAACTTCATTTTTCTTATATGGAGAACCAGTAGTAGTAAAAGTCATAGTGACAGTTATCAGAAGCTGGATATCCTGGGAAATTAGCTGCTAAACAGTATAAAATTTAGTTTCATAAAGTAAAAAGACTTCTGCATACTCACTGCATAATAGTGTATCAATGACTTAAGACAAGTGAACTTAAATATGGTTCATATAGTAAATTTTTTACCTGAATTTTATAATCTAAAGTAATAGTTCATAGTGAGACATCCAAACATGTCTGTTTGAAATCTTTATACATTTCATCTGGTGTGAACTTTGTGGTGTTGAATGAGGCAGGAATTTTGGTTAAAGCCCATCCCACATTCATTACACTGGTAAGGCCTTTCTCCAGTATGAGTTCTCTTATGTTTGATGAGGCTGGAGTTGTATCTATAGTTTCCACATCTGCTGTACTCATAAGTCTTTTCCCCAGTGTGAACTCTGATGATTGTGGAGCTATCCATAAAGAACTTCCCACATTTGCTGCACTTGTGAGTTCTCCTGAGTATGAACTTTTTGATGCCAGATGAGATGGGACTTTTGGCTACTCTCTCACATTCACTCATAAGGCTTTTCTCCCATGTGATTTCTTCAATGTCTGATTTGATCTGAATTGTGCCTAAAGAATTTCCCACATTCACTACACTCCTAAGGTTTTTCTCCAGTATGAACTCTGGTGTATATCTAATATGGAGTGATACCTTAAAAAGTTTCCCACACTTGCCACATGCATAAGGCCTTTCCCCAGTGTGAACTCTCTGGTGGCTGAGCATGGAGCTGTCCATAAAAACTTCCCATTCACTGCATACATTAAGGCCTTTCCCCAGAGTGCAGCCTGTTCAGTGTGATTCAATACTTAAAGAACTTCCCATACTCACTGTACTCTTAAGGCCTTTCTCCAGTATGAACTCTCTGATGATGAGGATGGAGCTCTCCATGAAGAATTTCCCACATTCACTGCATGCATAAGGTCTTCCTCCAGTGTGAACTTTCTGATATCTAATCAGTGTAGAATTGTGCATAAAGGACTTCCCACACTGACTCACTCAAGGTCTTTTTCCAGTGTGGAAGCCTCTTCACATTGGCTGCATTTATAAGGCCTTGGCCTGGTGTGAATTCTCTGGTTACAGCCATTAGACCTTTTTGTAAAGAATCCTTCAATGTGGATTTTCTGTTGCTGAACAAGGTGGGACTTCCTCATGAAGCCCTTCTCACATTTAAAACACGTGTAAGGCCTTTCTCCAGTGTGAATTTTGTAGTGGTCAACAATGTTATATTTGAAACTGAAGGCCTTTCCACACTCACCACATTTCAATGTGACCTCACTGATGTTTAATGAAGTTGGATTCATACCTAAATAATTTCCCACATTCACTATAGTCATAGCTTTTCTGCAGTGTGGATTTTTTTGGTGCTCAAAAAGCATGTATCAGTGGCCGAAGTCTTTCCCATATTCTTGGCAGCTATAATCATTTTGTCCACTTTGGAAGGCCTCACTGCCTTGAGTATCACCATGCAGCTTCCAGCCAGGGTAAGAGGCCTTTTGCTGCAGAAGGCCTGAAGTGGCAGTGAAGTCCTTCCCATTCTCTTTGCTTGCTCCCCTCTTCATGCTGTGTGAATGCTAAGGTTCTTCGGAAATGAAAGGCACCACTCTGCACTTCTGGGATGGTTCACTATGAGTTGCTGCTGGTAAAGCCCTGCCAGGCGCTTGCACATTTCTCGCTCAGGATGTGCAGCCTTGTGCTCAGCCATGTGCAGAAAGGGTTACAAAAGCAAGCTGTATGGCACACAGTGCTGGGTCTCTTGGGTGGCTGAGCCTGGAACTGGAATGATGACCCATGATGCTACGGCAGGAACACCTTGCTTGGCAGGTTCCTCCCATCCCCAACTCCATGCCAGCCTATGAGAAGAGACACACTGTGGAGGTATTTTGAATTCGAGTGGAACAGGCACTCTTGTCCTCTCATGGTGTCTGTTGGGCACACCACAGGTCATCTATGAGTTTACAGAGGGAATAAGAGGGAAAAAGGTAGCTGTAGTGAAGAGCAGCCCTGGTTTGCTCCCACTTTCGTCAAAAACACAAGGGAGGGGATAGAAGAGGAAGGAGGAGCAAAGTCTTCAAATCCGACCCTGTAAATGGCCTTGACAGTCTATGGCTATGTCCAAATCCAGGGACACTTCTTGCAACAGTGGCTGGTACTCAAAGATTCCTTAAGGAGCTCAAAATAACCAGAGTGTCAAATGTCAGGTGTACCACAAAGGATTAAGTAGAAGCACAAAGGGTTGAAAACCAAAAAGTTGGGTTGGAGGACATCCATGGGCCAAAAAAAGAACTAATAAGAGGGTGGAAAAGGGTGTGACCACTGATATCGGCAGAAGCTGGACAGATGTGCAGTGTGATCTGCACCCAGCTCTGACCACAGTGCCTTCTTCAGCTCCCTCACACTACAGCTGTGTCCTTCTGAGTCCTCCTCTTTTGTCTTTGCCGGAGTGATGGCCGCCCTGTCCAGAAGCCAGAATCCCCATCCCTGCTTAAGGTGAGCAACTCTCCAGCCCTGGCCAAGCCAGTTCTAGGTATAAGAGGGCCAGCACAGGCCTAGAGTGTATAACCCAGGACATCCAGCCCCCTAAAATTAAGAGAACATCTAGAGAAGAGATTTACACAAATAATCCTGTAATCCTGGCACAGAGGAACAGATGGTCACCTGAAACTCCTAACAGGGATAGTCGCTAAGAATGTCAGCAACAGGAAAGGGAGACAGTCTGGGACACAAAGCACCTGTAGAGAGCAACTGACCAGGACCTGCTGTGATCCCTTGCACAAACTCAACACTCCCAATTCCTGAGCTTCTAAGGCAACAAACAACAGGAACCAGGACTGCCTGGGGTAAGGTGACGCAGTGCACACTCACAGCACACCTGCTAGAGAGCCAGAGAAGGACTCAGCCCCATGGCCCAGTGTGGGAAAGACAGTTTCCCTTTTCTACACTGTGGCAAAGAAAAAACACAGTACCCACCCAAGATCCTGGGTAGATGGGAGGGACTCACTTAGTGGGGACAAAAGTGCAAAGTTCTCCAGCATCACCACATATAGATACCTCTGAGCCTCATGAAGGAGGTTGCACTCTTCCCAGGAGAACTACATGGCCAAGCCCTCAGGGACCATGAGGCCTTGCCACAGTTATGACACTTCACATTAACTGCTTCTGGCTGTGTTCCAAAGATCCACATCTATGCAGTTGGCATCTATTAATTACAGGGCCAGCTGAACAGCCCAAGTCTGTTTCAGCTTCCTTTGGCATCTAGGGCCCACACTCTGAACCACCTCCTTACCTAATTCACCACTATTTCCCCCAGCCTAAATCAATCCAAGGCCCTCTATGACACAAGCAGAGCTAGTTCACATTCTCCACGGCTGGCCAGGCTTACTCTAATCAGCTGAACAGAAGCTGTTTTGTGCTGACTGTCCCACCTGAAACAGGCTGAGAAAGCCTGCTTTCACCTAGTCCTCATGGCCTATGTGGTATGCGTGGCCATGCCCCCTGCTCTAGAAAACAGAAAAAACAAAAAATTTCCAGGGTCATTGGTTATCACTCACACCAGCAAATCAAAATCCTATGGGTACAGTCAATGATGCACTTCTGCCTTCAGGATCTCCAGTCCTCCTCCTTCCCCACTCCCTTGGGAGCCTCCTCCCAGGTCCCAATGTGGAATGAATGCCAGATTTTGGGGATTAAAGCACCTGCTCTCTCCTGATTTCCACTGATTGCCAACTCCAGCATGGGGCAAAAATGGGGAACAGAGGTGACAGAAGGCAGAAAAGCATCATCAAAGCTGGAAACTAGGGTCCCATCCCTCCTAAATCAGTCAATTTCCCTGGGGTCCTCCCATTGCCTTCTACTCACATTGTTCTCTGAATAGCACATCCTTTACCTCGCCAGAGCCTCCACAACTGCAACCCCACTCTGTCCCTCCACCCACACCACAGGGATTTCTCTGTGACTTCTCAACATACCACTATGAATTAGGAATCCAAGCAGAGCAGGGAAAATGCAGCAAGAACCTGCCTCTGCAATGCCCAGGACACCCAGCTGCCCTAACTTTTAGAGCCTCCCTAAGCCCTGCTTTGAAAGGCTCCCTCCAGCCCTGCTTCTTGTTTTAGGGGCCTACACAAGGACCTCCTCATTCCCCCACACCTCCCCTCAACCCCAGATCTAGGCTGCCCTCCAGCTCTGTACTGCACACACTGGCCCATGCAGCCATGACCTCCTCTCACTCTCTCGCACTAGTCAAAGGTCAGCTGCATTCACCTCTAGTTCAATCCCCACCCCAGGCTGGTCCCTGTGTGGGAGACTCCACCTCCCTTCCTCTGACCACAGCCCAAAAGAAAGCATCTAAGTACCATGAAGAGCTGCTGTAAAACCTGATGAGTCCATAACAGTGTTACAAGCGCCACCCTGAACTCACTACTACCTAATCTCGGAGGCAGACCGGCCTTGTCATCCGCCTCGAGTCTGGTTTTCCCTGAAAATCCTGTTATCCTCAGCAAGCTGACTCTCTCTCTCCCTCTCCCACACACTCACACAAAGCCAATTCATTCTCTCACATCTTTGTGAAAGCCACCATCACCAACCAAGAGAGAAACCCTCTGTTCCCAAACCTTCTGCCCTGACAGAACTACCTTACGAGTTCAAAGACACCTTCTCCTAAATCTGTCACATAGCTTCACAGGTGGCAAGAGTCTCTACCCTGAGCACCTCCACTCAACTCCAGACAAGTTTGACAACTGCTACCAGCATCTCCAGGTGGGTCATCTGGAACACTTCTGACTTGGTCAAAATCCAGTTCTGCATATTCCTGGCTAAAACTCCATTACCACAGGAATTCCATGATAGCCTAGCTGTTGGGCCATCCTTACAAACAAGGCCCCAAACTGCAGGGCTTCCCCTGGGTCCTTCAACCACCGTTCTATTCCCTTATTCTCCATGTCATAAAGTGTACATAGCTCTAGGTCACAACTCATCCAGAAGCCAACAACTCCTCACATCTTTGTGGCCCCCACTCTTGCCTAGACTGATGCAGAAATTATCAAAACCATATCTCAGCTTCCATCCTCACTCCCACTGTGTCCTCCACTCTGCTGGCAGAGGGAGCCTCCTAAAATGTAGGTCAAAACACCTTGCCTCAAATCCTTCCTGCTTCCCACACCCTTCAGATGAGAGGCCCAGAACTCAAGATGCCATTCCTGATCCCTGATTGTCCCAACCTCCCACCCTGTTCCCTAGTCCTGCCAGAGACAACATAGCTTTGCAATGCCCTAAGCACTCCAGCTAAGTTTCAACAGCAAGGATCTATCACACTGGATCCTAAGCCCGGGACATCCTGGGACATCTTAGCCCAGTTTTAGAACTGAGACTATTCTATGTAGCCAGAGACTGAGTTTAGGACCCCAGGTCTTGGCGGGGTGTATATTGTGTGTGTCATGATTTGGCAGAGAGAAAGCATGGATCCAGAGTCTTGGGACACTGCATTCCCTTATAAGGATGCCCAAAACTGGAATGGGTGAAAATCTAAGACTCATCCACCATTTACCCATGCTGGCTCTTGCAGGATCCTAGGGAATAAGCTAAGCACCACCTCCGCCCTCCTTCGAACTGCAGTGCTGCCCCTTAGCACCGCTGTCACCCTAAACAAACACGGAGTCTCCTTAAGCCTCAGTGTCCTCTTTTGTAACTGGAGATTAAAATGGCTACATTCTACAGAATTAAACTTTTGCATGCTTTCAGTGCAAACAAAATGCAAGAGCTTCGACGATGGGGTTTTATCCTCCCTACAATGTTAAACTTCCAAAATCTGGCAGATTAATCCCACAACGAATCCACCCTCACTGCACCATTTCCAACACCTTCTGTTAAGAAAGCAGTCGAACATCAGGAGTCAGGGAATTAAGGTAGCGTTCAAACGTCTGCTACTACTTAAAAAAAAAAAGATGTTTTTACAATCATGTGTTAAGTCTCATTAGTCAAATGATTCCACAAAGCATTGTGACATCTTACATGTGGGGCACATCCTTCCAATAACTGGCCGCCTGGTCATCTAACTCCAGAGCAAGGCGTGCAATATTCCTGGCTGCCACAGCCTTACAGTGCAGTCATGTGCGGAAGTGAAACTTTAAAGACCTCTTACCTTGGGCTGGGATCTGGTTACATTAAGAATTTATCTTTCTTAAATTTCTTTTGTAAGCTCCTTACATGACTGAGGCCTCTGGGGAAACAATGACTACCTAAAAAGGACAAGAAAACATTTTGCAATTCCAAAGTAAATTATAAATACAAAACATCGTAAGCATGCTAGTTGCCTGAACTCTACAAATAACTTACGAGTGCACCAAAATGTATCCAAATTCCCACCCTGTGCAATGCCTCCCCTCCTCACTAGAAGGCATAGCCTCTACTTCTTCCTTACAGTGTTCTACCCACACTATTGCGTGGCTGCCTATATGTCTTGATCGAAATGATTTCAACAAGGGCACAAAGAACCGAGGACCGAAGAAGTAAGGACGCAGCGTCCGGGGCCTCTTTCAGAACTCAGGACACCATTGCAGCAGGGCCTCCGCCCACCCTCGGTTCCCGACATCCAGTCTGCGTCTCCTCGGTGCTCCGACTTCGTGGCACCTGCGGCCTTCGCGTGAGCGGCGACACTCGGAAAGGACTCCCTGTCTTGAGCCGGACCCTGGCCCGCGGGACTCTGGCTCAGGGCTCGGGGTGGACGCGGCCTCCGCCGACGGAGCACGAGACAACTAAGAGACAAGGGAAACAGAATTCTGGGCAAGTTTGGTCGGCCTCACTAGCCCAATCTCCGCTGGGCTGATCCGAGGATCTCGGACCCTCAAACAAAAGCCACTAACATCCAAGGCGCCCGCCCCGAAGGTCGCCGCCAGAAGCTCCGCCCACTCGCGGCGCGTGCACCTCTCCTCCTTCTGGGTCCTCATTGGCTCAGCTCGCCGACACGTTTGCAGCAGAGGTTTGTGGGTAACCTAGTTCCCACCCCTATGCCCACCTTCTCTCGGAGTCCGGAATCCGCTCTCACCAGCCAGACAGGAGCAGAGGCATCAAGAGGGGCGTTGGAAACTGGGTTGGGGGGCTCCGAGAACAGGCGAGGCTTGCCTGCCTCTTAAATGAGAACTCAGATTGTTCCGTAGCGAAGTTTAGAAGAGACCCAAAGGATGTTTCAGAAAACATTTAAGATTCTGTGAAGCAGAACAAAGTTTTAAAGAATACACAGCACGACAGACCCAGCAGATGGCCACACTTGGCGACCACTCATTGCGGTCAGCGCGTGTGTTGTCTATGAAATACAAATAGGCTGAAGCTTCACAGACTGGGCATGGTACCCAGGGAAAAGAAAGACCCCAAATCGGACGCATGAGGAGTTAAGAGGAAGGTTCTTTCCTGTCCAAATAACCTGCGACTGTATTCCAGCCTAGCAAACACTTTTATTCATTTAATAGTTGCTACTTTACATCTGATGGTTTTTTAGGAACTTTAAACTTAGCTGAAAAAAAAATGACGTCCTATTTCCTGACAGATCAAGAGCAGCCTTCTAACAGTCAAACTGTTTGTTCAAAGAAGACCTCTTAACCCTGAAATAAAAGTCTGGGAATTGATAAGTTCATCTCCGTTCTGGGAAGTGACATCATTTCACCTGGAACTGAATCAACAGTGAGCACAAATTGAAATTAGGTAGGTCCATGTGGCTGGGTGTGGTTACCCATGCTTGTGATCCCAACACAAGGAGTCTGAGGCGGGAGGTGCCAAAAGTTCCAGACCAGCCTGGACTAGGTAATGTTTCAGGTCTGCCTGAATCACAAAAGTGACACTGTCTCAAAAATAGAAAAGTCCTTGAAAACTAGGTATTATCAAAGGTATCCGTAATGATTATGTAATTACTCAAATAGAATAGCCTAGCTAGCCTTAGCACGGAGTGTGGTGGCCCACGCCCGTGAACCTACCACTCAGGAGGCTAAGGAAAGAGGACCACAGCGAGTTCAAGGCCAGCCTGGGCTACACAGGGAGTTCGAGGCCAGCCTGAACTATAGGAGATCCTTTATCAAAAAATAAACTCTTCTACAGTAACATATCCTTGACTAGAGAAGTAAAAGTTGTCAGTGAAGTCTGAACAAGCAACACCATGATGAGGTAGGTATCAGAGGATAAAGCACTCTGGCTATGCGGGAACCTTGGACACACTTACTAAATTTCCAAACTTTGATCCTTCTTCAGTCTTGCAAACTTTGTATATTACAAATGGATGAAGCTGACTGGGGTGGCACAAGTTTGTAACCCCAGTCCTGGGGAGGATGAGAGATGGAGGATCACTGTGAGTTCAAGACTACCTGAGCTAACTAATGAGTTAATGCCTGAAATAGAGACCTGATCTCAAAAACTAATAACTTGGAGAAAAATGTAAAGACAGAATAGTAAAGAATTGACAGAACGTAAAAGTGAATAGGGCATCTGCAACATCTTTATTACTCTAGCATCATATTTATTATTCACTGGATTTCAGGCACAATAGTAAGGAAAAGGGTGGCCAGCTGTCTATTATACAAGGTGTATCCTACATATTTTTGTGTATTGCTTTTGTCAACATGCCTTAAACATCCTATATTCAGGTTTTTATTATGACACATCACAAAAAACAAATGGGGGACAGTTCACAGAATGGGTTACTGGGAGGTTGGAAAAACTCATGAGGGTCTCAAGATAACCAATATTGTTCCTAAGGAAAACTTCTGCAAGCTCCTAGTCAACAACAGGCCATGTCCTTGATCCAAAGCTGACATCCACAGCCAAACCAACCTTTGGCAAGGGAGTAAGGCACCCAAAGCAATCAAATGACCCATGCATCCTCCAAAGATAAACCAGGATAATGCCATGTCCTAACTTGTTGTTTTTCTGTCCTAGTTTTGATGGTACTAGGGATCACACCAGGGAATTTGCACATGCTGGGCAAGCATTCTATCACTCAGATACTATTTTTATTTTTTGAGACATTTTGCTAAGTCACCCAGGTTGGTCTCAAATTTGTGATCCTCTTGCCAAGGATTACAAGCATGCACCACCACACCTGGTTCATGCCTGAGCCTTTTAATGTAATGATACCACATTCTGTGGCTTTTGGCCAGCTGGCAGGGAGAAATGACCTTTGTTATAGACAGCAACAGTGAAATAACTGTCAAAGACGGCAAGCAAACCCAAGGGCGCAATGTAGTTTGCAACTCTGCCATGTATCTGGTGACATAAAGTATAACCCTGCTGTGGATGTTAGAGGTTCAGCTGTTGCCCATCTTGTTACAAAGCCTATTCCTGGAGTTTCTGCTCTATTAGTTGAACAAGCAAAGAGCATACTGCCTGCATTCTAAGGCCATTCTCCAGTAAGAACTTGCTGGTGCTGAATGTGGGTAACACCTAATGACTTTCAAGTCACTTCATCCTTCCTTTCCAGGGACTGGCCATGTAATCAAGGCTATTCTTGAATTTAGACTGATCTTCTTGCCTCAGCCTCCTAAGTGTTGGGATTACAAGCATGTGCCATCATAGTTTGGTTGTTATTCTTTTTCTTCCTAATACAGACTGAACCTAGGATCTTCTAAGCTATACCTCAGCCCTTGGAAACTTGCCCAGGCTGGTCTGAACTTGCAGTCCTCCTGCCTCAGCCTAACACCCCACCTCACCACACCTAACACCCCACTCCCCTTTCAGTGCAAGGGACAGAACCCAGGGCCTTCTGTATGCTAGGCAAGTGCTGTACTACTGAGCTGAATCCCCAGCCTGCTGCACTTTTACTGCCCTTCTGGGTATAGAGCTCCCACACACAAACACAAGATACAAAGGTTTTTTTTTTCACAGCAAGACGTAATGTCAGATACATGCAACAGGAGTATTTGCTGCCTATAGCTAGGAAAAAGCGGATCAGCTTATGTAAGACAACAGGACTGGGTTAGCTTGGCTTCCAGTGTTCCAAGAAATGGCTAATCTGAATTATCTGGGCTGATCTCTAGTGCCCAGAGCCTGAGAGCCCAAGAAAAGAATGAATTGAGAGTAAAGATATAAGCAGCTTTCCAGCAGAGGAACTGGTCTACCTCTAGCCTAGGCTTCCAAAAGGATTCAAAATAGTAAATAGTATATGCTTAAAGAGAAACAAACAAACAAACAAATGCCAGGCATGGTGGTGCATACCGGTAATCCTAGCACTTGGGAAGCGAAAGCAGGAGCATCACTGTGAGTTTGTAGCCAGCCTGGCCTACATAATGAGTTCAAGTCCAGCTTGAACTACATAGCAACACTGTCTCAAAAGAAAAAAAGAAAAGAAAAAAGTAGTATTTCAATAAACAGAGCTTAGAAAGCTAGTTATCCACATGCAAAAGCATGAAAATGGAGGTATGCCTAACATCTTATACAAAAACAAATGAATGCTGGACACAGAGGCACATACCTCTAGTGCCAGCTATTTGAAAGGCTGAACCAAGAGGATCCAAACCCATGAGTTCAGCCTAAGTAATATAGTAAGGCTTTACCCATCCCCCTAAAAAGGATAAAAGACATAAATATAAGGCTTATAAATACAACACTTAGAATACAACATAAGGAAAATGCTGCATAAAACTGGATTTGACAGTGCTTTCTTAGCATTTTTTTTTTTTTTTTGGTACCAGGGATCAAACTCGACCTCGCATTTGCCAGGCAAGTGCTTTGAGCCGCTGAGCTAAATCCCCAGCTGACAATGCTTTCTTGCATATATCAAAAGCATAAATGAAATAAAAGAATGTGGACTATATGAAAGTTAAAAAATTTCAGCAAAGAGCTGGGCACGGTGGTGCACTCCTGTAATCCCAGAACTAGGGAGGCTGAGGTAGGAGGATCACTGAAAATTTAAGACCAGCCTGGGCTACAAAGTGAGCCCAAGGCCAGCCTGAACTGCACAGCGAGACCCTGTCTCAAAAAGACAAAAAAAAAAAAAAATCAGCAAAGGATATAACTGACAGAACAACAATCTACGCACTAGGAGAAAACATTTTAAGATCACATAAAAATTTGTATTTCTAAAATTTCTGTAATTCAACAACAAGAAACCTCATTAAAAATGGTAACAGCTGGTATTTCTCCAGATGAATAGATGCTAATAAGCACAGATAAGCTGTTCTACATCACTGACAATATAAAAATGAAAAGCCATGTGTTCTCAGGCCCAAAAGGTGAGGTAAATACACACACAAACACACAAACACCAGAAACAGAAAAGGAAGTGTTGGTAATGAGGCAGACAAATGCTGTGCAGTGTGGTGGGAACGTTAAGTGGTACAGGTATTGTGGAAAACAGTTCCTTACTAAAGTGAAAGACATTGTATGACACAGTATTTTCCTTTCTGGAAACACCCAAACTGAAAGCAGGGTTCAAACCATGAGGTACACTCATCCTCACACTAGCATTCTCCCTTATAGCTGAAAGTGACAACTATACAGGTATCTATTAGTCAATGGAGAGATAAAGAAGTATGGTGTACATCCACCACGGAATATTATTTCACTAAAAAAAGGAACAAATTTCTGACATATTACACATGGATGAACCTTAGGGGCACTATCCTAAGTAAGAAGTCTGTCACAAAAAGGCATACTGTATGACTCCACTTATAAGTAGCACTAGGGGTCCAACTCCTAGCTAAAACTATAGAGAAGCAGTAGTAAGGGCCAGCAGGGGAAGGAAAATTTTTTTTTTTTGGTACCAAGGATCGGAATTCGCGACCTCACACTTGCCAGGCAGACACTTATGCCACTGAGCTAAGTCCCCAGCCCCAGCATTCTCATTTAATGGGAATGGTTTTACTTCTGTAAGTTCTGTAGATTAACTGCAGGAACAATGGGAGTTCAGAAAACACTGTCCAATTAAAAGTCAACGGTAAATTTTCTGCATGATGAAATCTCTGATGTTTAATGAAACTGGAGCTGTACCTATAGAATTCCTCACATTCACAGAGCGCACCAGCCTTTCTGCATTGTGGATTTTCTGATGATGAACCAGGTGGCACTTTCAAATGAAGGCCTTTCGGCACTCACTGCATTCATAAGGTCTTTTACCAGTATGGATCTTCTGGTGCTCAACAAGTACATGTTTGTGGCTAAAGGTTTTCCCACACTCTCTGCACTCATAAGGTCTTTCTCCAGTATGATTTCTCCAGTGTTTAATGAGGTTGGAGTTGTATCAGAAGAATTTCCCACACTGACTACACGTATAAGGCCTCTCTCCAATGTGAACTTGCTCTAATGAGCCTGCAGTGGTACCTAAAGCATTTTCCACACTCGCTGCACTTGTAAGGCCTTTCTCCAGTGTGGTTTCTCCAATGTTTAACAAGGTTGGAGTTGTACCTGAAGAATTCCCCACATATGCTGCACTCATAAGGCCTTTCTCCACTGTAAAGTCTCTGATGTCTAATGAGGGTAGAGTTGTACCTAAAGAACTTCCCACATTCACTGCACTTAAAAGGCCTTTCTCTAGTGTGAACTCTTTGGTGTTGAATGAGGGTAGAGCTGTCCATAAAGAATTTCCCACATACATTACATTCATAAGGCCTTTCTCCAGTGTGAACCCTTTTATGTCTTATGAGTCTATAGTTGTACATAAATGACTTTCCACATTCTCTACACTCATAAGTCCTCTCTCCACTGTGAATACTCTGATGTTTCATTAAGTTGGCACTGTACCTGAAGAATTCCCCACATTTGTTACACTGATATGGCCTTTCTCATGTGTGAGTTTTCTCATGTTCAACAAGGGAGTATTCACATCTGAAGGTTTTCCCACATTTACTGCATGTGTAATTGTTGTGCCCCATTGGAAGGGGTTCCCTGTCCTCAATTTCCTTATCTGGCTTCAACCCACAGTGAGGGGCTGGGTGTTGGAGAAGGCCCGAAGTAGCCAGCAATTCTTTCCATCTCTCCCTGTGTGAAGGTTTTCTGTGCCATATGAACTCTGTGGTTCTTCAAAAATGAAAGTCTCCATGTGTCCCTTCTAGAAAGATTCTCTCCAGTATGCTTTTGAGGCTGGTAAAGTTCTGCCTCACAACGACACATCTCTTGTTCAGTTTGTGTTCTACTGTGCTCAATGAGGCACAGAATATCTTTCAAGAGTGCGTCACATGTCTCCCTAGGCCAGGTCTTCTCAGTGGACAGCTCTGGCTTTGGAGTGATAACCTGTGATGCTCTTGCAGAAATTCTTTGCTTGGAAAGTGCCTCATCCTCAGTTCCATTCCAGCAACCTGTAAGAAGAGAACATGCTGGTGAGGTGTCTGTTGACTTTGGTAGGAGGACATCCTCATCCCATATGTGTGTCACACAGTCACAGTAAGTTCACAGGCTTCCTGCTGGTGATGGACATAAAGCTCCAACCAAAACTCCTTCACCAGGAAATCCACTGTGCCTCAGTGCCTCTCTCACTGAGGCATAGCCCTCAGTGAGAGGAGGACCTGCTGTGCAGGAAAGCCTGGTGATGAGTAAGGACACAAAGACACTAAGTAAGGTGATAAATAAGGACACAAAGAGGTATGGTAGGGAAAGAAGCATGCTCGCTGTCTCACTCCTCTGCAAATGCTTTCAGTAGGCTACAGCTGCTGGTGACCAGGGAGCAGTGTGCATAAGCCTGTGTCCAGATGCAGCAGAGTCCACAGAATACTGAATGAGACATGCACACTTTACTGCACCATGAGCGCTGGAGGGCTCTGCTTAGGGAGCAATGGGAGCATGCATGAGAGGTAGTGCCACAGGACTGGGGGTGGGGAGGAATGGACGGACAAAGGACCAGGAGTACAGTGGCAGGAATTCTTAAGCAAATGACAAAGGTGGAACTGTGGTTGGCCACTGGTCCTGGCATCAAATAACGGTAGGTATAAAAAAGGCTCCCAATGTGATCAAAACCAAACTCTTGATATGAAGGCCCTTCCCAACTCCCTGGCACCAGGACCATGTCCCTGTGAGATACTATTACAATCACTGGTACTAATATCCATCTTCCCAGGTACCCAAAACCTTCCCATCAAAGTGACTTGGCTAGAACTTGGGAGAAGCCATTTGGAGGGGAAAGAGTGAAAAAGAGTGAAAAACAAGTCCAGGGATCACCGCAAAGCACCGCACATGCTAAATCACATCACAGAGAAGCACTGCAGAATCAACTTCGTGGCTTTCAACTGGTGACCAGGTTAGTGTCAGGCATAGGAAGTGACCAGGCACAGGAAGACACCAAAAATATCAGCAGGAGCAAGGCCACACATATGGACAGGGTAACCTGGACAGGGACAGGCAGTGCATCAAGCTCTCTTAGAGAAACTGCTTTCTTTCTTTTTCTCTCTCTCTTTTTTTTTTTTTTTTTTTTTTTTTTTTTTTTGTTGGTCTTTTTGTCACCGGGTCTCGCTATGCGGTTCAGGCTGGCCTTAGGTTCACTTTGTAGTCTGGGTTGGTCTCAAACTCGAAATGATCCTCCTGCCTCAGCCTCCTGAGTGCTGGGATTACAGGCATGAGTCACCAAGACCAGCTCCTTCTTTCTTTTGGTACTGGGGATCAAACTCACAACCCAGTGCTCACCCGATAGGTGCTTATGCCACTGAACTAAATCCTCAACTGAGGAACTGATTTCTGCCTACAATCCTTTTTCTCAAGTCCTCAGAGCAGCAAGGGATGGGCCTGCACAGGGAGAGAGGACAAACCCAGAGTGTCACACACCTCCCACAGCACACTGTCGGGAAACCAGTGAAGAACCCTGTGCCATGGTCAGGATGTGGGAAGGCAGAGCTGCCCTGGGCAACAGGGAGACCACAGTCCACCACTGCACTGAGTGGGATGGAGGGCCTTAACTAGGGAGGACAAAAGTGCCAAGTTCTCCAGCATCACATCACAGTACAAGAGTCTCTGGACCTCACTGAGGTGTCCCCACTCCTCCTGGGAGAAATAGATGGCCACGTCCTCAAAGACCACTTGGCCCTGCCACAACGAATATAGCTCAGTAAATGCAGCTTTTTTGCAACTATGCTTTCTTCAATTTTTAGATTCATCCATTTGGACCACAGTAACTAAAGGGCTACAAGCTAGGTCTGTTTACCTCTCCCGTGCCATGTGCAGCCTGATTCTGAATGACCTCCTCCTCTAACTTTCAGAGCCCCGGCCACTATTTTCCTTGTCCTAAATCAACACCAGGTAAGTACCAAACATCCAGGGACAGCTCCATGCCAAAGCCAAGCCGATCTCCCTGCTCAGCTTTACTTTTCCCTTGTGAGCCCCAGTAAAGACCGCGGCCTAAGCTTTCCCCTTGCTCCTATATTACGCCTCTTAACCAAGGCAATGTTTTGCCATACCACCCTGTGTGGTGTGCAGCCCCTCTGGGAAATGTAAGGAACAAAGCCCTTGTCACTGCGTTCACTCATATCTGTACGTACCCCACAGGTACAACCACTGTTACATTTTCTCTCTCTAGTTCAAAGTCCTTCTCTCCCTAAACCACCCACTCACTGCTCAGTCTTCTCCATACCTTCCCATTGTGGAATAGATACCAGTCCTGGTGGCGCTGCTGCCTTTTCTCTCATTTTCATTCATCACTCAATCTGGTACACAAGTGGAAAAAGGCACCATCTAAACTGTCAGGCTGCTCTGTGCAATGCTACCCTCTCCAGCTGGCAGGTAATGGAAGTGTCTGCTGTGGGGCTGTGGGAGAGGTGTGTTCACAGTGATGTGCAGGTAGAGAGGCGCGAATGGTTAGCCCTCGATTCTGACATTAGGCACTTGGGGAGAAGGGTGACCCTGAGCTTGGCTGTGGGAAGTAAGATCTGGAGGATACCAGGGAATTGGCCAGCTGGAGAGGCAAACAGAAGTAAATCAATGTCAAACCAATTATGAAATGCTTGCCGAAATTTCACTTCCTGAGTAACTTCACTTGCTACAGATGTGTACATACTTAGAGGGACAGTAGTTACCTAGTATTAAGTGTTTCACACATCCTGCAGTTAACAAGCTGCAGGGAGGACCTACCTGGCAGGTCAGTTACTAGTCTTTTCTGCAAGCAGAGGGAGCTTATTCAGGTCTCTTGATTACAATACTAAATCAGCCCCTCTTGCCCTAGATGTGGTGGAGGAAAAAGCAGTGGCCTGAAGTCCAGCTGCACCACTAACTTGGATGCCCTGTCTTGTTCCACAGACAGCAGCCTTAAGGATCTGCCAGGCCTGAAGGTGTAAAATCTAAACAACCTCACATTCAAGTCTTTTTCCTAGGCCAGCTTCTTAACCATATCCAGAGCTCGTTTCCTATAACCATGTGCCTTTCTAGGTCAGAGTTGTGAACGATAATTTCAGCCAGGATCTTTTCTTTAAACTCTCACTTCTTCAACAGCACTGCTTCAGATGTTGGCTTGGGAACTGGGGGGAAGACAGAATGCTAACTACTCTTGCAGTCCTATTTGATGCAACAGGAAATCCTCTGGACTCGATCTTTCAGGTCTACCCAGAATCCCATCACATTGCTCTTCTACCGCCACCACCCTGGTCCAGCCCCAGCGCGGTATTGCTGGAGTATAACTGCAGTGGTCTCATCAGTCTCTGCCTTAATTCCCTAACCCGTTTCCCCCAACTATCAACTGCTAACTCAGGACATGCCCCCCTGGGCCTCCAGAAGTTCTGGTGGTCATCCAGAGGGGACTCCACCAACCGCGTTCAGGAGAGACACCTCATGTCTCCCCGCTGCTCCGACTCCGCGGCACCTGCAGCCTTCGGGTGAGCAGGTTCTCAGGGCTAGTGTCAAAAAGAGGATCACCCACAAGATCGTCCCGTCCTGCACACAGGCCCTGACCTGCGGCGAACGGACTGGGCCCGTCCACCTGAGCTTAGCACTGCGAGTGGGCACCCAGGGTCGCAGCACCCACCTGCTCACCGACCTCATAGGCTCCACCAACCGAGCCCGGGGGAATCTGGGCGGGGATTCAACAGTAAAACAAAGACAAACATTGCCGCACAGCCTAGCTCAGCGGAGCCTCATCCCCTCCTCTTGGGACTGGGAATCAATCCATTTCTCTTGATTTTTCGCTTTGTCATTTCACTGATAACCAAACACTCCGTAAGACCCAACCACGAGCAACCAACATGGCGCCCCTCAGGGAGACGCCGGAAGTCCCGCCCCTCACGGCATGCGCGCGCAGACGTCGTCCTCGGCTCCGTAGTCAGGGCGCGCACCGCAGGCGCTTCTGGGTAAGGGAGTCTCCGCGCCACTGCAGATGCGGTTCCGCAAACTGTCCCTTGTTTCCTGGTAAGGGGCCCAGGGCACCTGGGTGGACATTGCAAAGTGGAGCGCTAGGGCTCCAGAGATGGCAGGGTGTTTAGCTTCTTCTTACAGGCAAGGTACACAGATTTCCTCGGAGTATGGGATACTCTCAGAAATGTTAGTAACCCACTGTTGCCAAAGGCAACACATCTAACGAGATACACACCATGGGAGTGCTTTCTGCTTCCCCAGATAGCTGTTAGCACTCAGTTGTCCCGCCGGTTTTTAAATATTTAGAGTGCTAAGCTTCCAAAAAGTTTGGAGTAGCCCTCTGGTGACGCACATGGTTAGCTTAAGTGAGGCCCTAGGGTCAGTCCCCAGCAAGAATAAAATAACAAAAATCCATGACAATCTCCAATACGGTTGGTCCAGGAGACGCAAGACTAGGCAGTGGAATGAGGAGGAGGAATAATAGGCTTTGCTGAGGTATACTGAAAGGATGAAAACGTGTCTTTCATTCTGGAAAAACATTTTTCCTAGCTGTATAATCAGTCAAAACTTTCCTACCCTGGGAACAACAATTTCATTAAAATAATACTACTTCACAGCTGTTTTCCAGTTGTTTTAATCTCAAGATGAAAAACCACAGCAACTGATAACATGTAATTTCCTGCCAAGACACTGCCATTTAGTAGAGGCATATGTGCAAAGAATGATTCTTTCCTAAGAAAAAGTGAAATCCCATAATTTCGTTTTCTTGCTGAGAAGTGATTTATCATCCCATTCATCTCATTTGTAATTGCAATGCTGTCCATGTGGGGGAGTTGAAATTATCCATGAAAATGCTGAAACAAATTTCCAAGAGCTATTTATAATGAAACGTATCTGTGACGTGTAGGGGAAAGAACATCTCTGGGAAGTTTGAAAGAGACCGTTAAGTGTAAAAAGTCAGAATGAAGCTGAACACGTGGCTGTATTGAAACTTTTGCCACATTCATGTTATTGTTTCCAAACTGATTTTTTGTAATACCTGAAATTATTGCTCACTAACCGTTTGGTGAGATAAGTAAAGGTAATAAAGTGAAACACTTGCCACGAAGGTGCAGATGAACAGGGAAGCAGCACATTGATGTATATTTACTGCTTTACAAAATGTCAACGAGCATATACTGAGTTTCAGGTACCATAGTAGATGCATGAGATACATTGTGAATAGTTATCAGCTGCTCTGCATATATACAGGACTGTTGCATGTGTTCTTAGATGCAAAAACTGTCAATTTGATATTCATTAATTACTGAGACAAATGGAAAGCCAAAGTTGCTCACCTTTCTTGAATATTGCTTTTTTGAGTACAGAAAACTCATTAGAATTCCTTAAACCACAGAGCCTGACATGTATATATTCCCTTCCTGCCCAATAGCCATATCCCCATGTTATCTTTCCCAGGACTTTCCTGGAAAAGGCACTGTCCTATTTACTTTCTTCTAGACTCTCTTCCTTTCTATCTCCATATCCAGTTCCTTTCTATGGGCTTCCTCACTGCCTATGTGGGCTGGCTGAGTGTGCCTTTTTCTTTCAGGATCTGAAAGTAATAAAAACTTTATTGCTATTTTGTGTTTCTCCTAATTATTGAAGAGGTATCCTTCTCTGAAAGATACTGAATATACACTAACAAATGTTAAGAGGAAAAAAATGGAGATTAGCACAGTAGTGAATAGGTAGAATATATAACAACTCTGTATTTTCTGCTGAGTAGCTCAGTAAACTAAAAAATGATCCTTCCTGAAACACATTGAAAGCATGCAATTATTTAACATATATGTGATCCTGCCATTTTACAGTGAGGATTTTGCCAAAGGAAATGAATACACTACCATGTAACAACTTGGTTACAGATAACATTGTAAAAACAAAATGAAACAAAAACCACTTAGGAATTTCATTGCCTTTTAAAATGTGCTTTTCTGAAATTAATATGAGTCATAATTTAGTCATCAGCTTTGAAATGATACTGGGCCTGGAAACAGTGGACAGTGTGAGGCTATTTTTTCTCTTACATCAGTGGGAGAATCTGATCTCTCTTGGTGCTCCTATTTTTACTTTTTATCCTTGATGATGTATTCTATCACTCATCAGCCACTGCTGTTACGGATTTGATGAGTTTTGCATTCTCCCACTCACAGAGCTCTCATTCTATCTGATCTGGCCTGCGGATCAATCCGTGGGGTGTACCTGGAAGCGGAACGGGGATTAAATAAAGACATAGGGGAGACAGAGAGATGGAAGCAAGTCGAGAGAATCTGATCAAGCCCCCTGTTTATTCCGGAAGTGATTACATCTTTTATAAGCCAAGGGCAGGAGGTGGGACAGGAAGAGGCTACGGGGGTGAATGCAATAGGGTCATCATCATGTCCAGGTATGTGAGGTAAGCAGGAGAGGATTATGGTTAATGTAGGCAGACGCATTGTGCCCACAGGAGAGAGAGAGGCAGGGAGGCAGCAATGGGGCTGTTGCTCGGCTCTCTACACTATCTTTCCCTTCTTAGGTTAAGATGTGACCACTTGCTCCAATACACATTCCCACCATGACTTTTCACACTTAGCAAACCAATAGAGATGCCTGTTGTTGGACATGAACCATTAGAAACCCTGGGAAAATAAACCTCTTTTCATAACTTCTTTATTCCAAGCATTTGTTATAGTAATGTAAAGCTAACAAAAACATGGAAAATAAAAGTCATGAAAGAAAACTTGAGTAAGCTGAACTTGATTAAAAACTCTGCAAGAGGGGCTGGGGATTTAGCTCAGCGGCATAAGCGCCTGCCTTGCAAGCAGGCAGTCGTGAGTTCAATCCCTGGTACCGATAAAAACAAAAAAGCCAAAAAAAAAAAAAAAACCCCTCTGCAAGACACTTTTAAAAGAATATGAAAAGATGCCATCATCTGTCATTAAGCAATGACAAACTAAAGCAACAATGATATTAACACTTCATATCTTTTTTTTCTTTTTGGTACCAGGGATCAAACTCACAACCTCACACTTGCCAGGCAGGCACTTGAGTCGCTGAGTCCCAATTTTATATCTAGTTGAGTGGCTAAAATCCAAATCTGTCATCTATTGATGGCTGTATTCAAAATGGTATAGTCACTTTGAAAGGTCACTTATGATTATAAATATATCTTTAAGATATAATTCCCTGATGATAACTAAAAAGTTTAAAATATGTCCACATAGAAACTGCACACAGATGTTTGTAGTAGGTTTATTCATAGTTTCCACATCTTGAAACCAACTGATACTACTTTCAATCAGTGAATGGACAGAAAGTGCCATATCAATGCAATGGAATATTATTTTCTCATAACTCAAACACAAATATTTATAGCAGCTTTATTTATAATAGTAAATAACTGGAAACAACTCAAACATCTATTAACAACTGAATGGATTTTTTGGGGGGTCTTTTTCCTTTTTTATCGGTACTGGGGATCGAACTCATGACTGCCTGCTTGCAAGGCAGGTGCTTATGCTGCTGAGCTAAATCTCCAGCCCGCAACTGAATGGATTTTAACTGTTGTATACAATGGAATACTGCTCAGAAATACAAATTAACAAACTACCCATGCAACAATATAAATTAATCTTAAAATAGTGATGATTACTGAAACAAATTCAGAGCCCCTAACTTTTGTATATACCATGATTTCCTTTTTTTACATAAACTGCCTCTTGCTGTTTGTTAATCTGGGAAGAATAAAGGCTGGTGGGGCTATAAAGGGACACAAGGAATCTTTTGCTTCTATTGTATACATTCATTATTGATACATACATTGATTATGCTGAAAACATGCACATCTTACCATTTACCTATTTGTAGTGTATGAGGTGTTAATCCTATCTCAAAAAAGCTGTTAAGACCTAATACTCGGGCTTAGGGTGGAAAATTCATCTACAACTCCTCATGGAAAGTCAGATATACAAACTATTTTGGCTGTACTGTATCCTCCCAATTTAGGAGAGTGATTCCTGCCTCAATGTAACCAAAATCCAGAGAACAATAAAGTTTGTTCAGTTAGAAGTTAGGTCAGAGAAGCGTCACGCCTCTTCTGAGGTCAGAGCAGCACCTGTGCAGTGATGGCCCATGGAGCTACAAAAATCCACAAATCTTTATTCACTCACAATAGCTGTGGCCCCAGGAAATACTGATGTCTGAAGACTGAAAATTCCTGTACACCCTCATTTCTCACAGCCACAATTACATGGACATGGTGGATAGCACTTTAAAAAAATTTTTTCTCAACTTTCCTAAAATTTTCCACTTTTAGAAAGTCAGTGTTTGCCACAGTTACCCCTACATCTCTATTTCAGTGTTTCTCTACCAGTGATTCTTAGAATGCACAGCACTTGCCAATGGGACTCTGCATATCAAAGCCTGGATTCTGTACAGGTGTACGAGACAGTAATCCCTCAACAATGTTATGGAACATGTGACATTTAAGGGACTTGATTCCTATTGTGTCTAGAAGCATGGGAGATTTTCACATGAGCTATACCTTCCTCAGAATGAACACTTACTCACAAGGGACCCTTACATTCAAGCTAGAGAATTAGGCAGATAAAGCTTTTCAATCTTTTCTAGTAGGCTTACAATAGTGTACACTAAGTCAAACTAGACAGAACTATTCCTGGCCAATCTATGGTCATGAAAATAAAATGTGTGCCTCAAAAGGTACTCCCCTTCCTTCACATTGGCAGAATAATATTTTTTTTCTCAATCCACTCGACACAGTACACAGTGCCACGAAGAAAGGTTGACATAATATATAACAACATTTATCAGTGCATACATTGGAGTCAAGGGATAGGCAGTTAAGCCAGGTTGGATGATCTGGATGACTATCATGTTCATGATTGACACTGCCCAAGGGGAATCTTGCCTGGAAATCTTGGCAGACCCTAGCTCAGATCCTTCACACCAGAGTTAGATCACAGCCACTCACAACCTAGGCATGAAGGAGGAAATGAAGACCTTTAACAGGCTCAGAACATTCACAATTCCTACAGGGAACAGAAGAGTAAGCAGATACCTGCCTTCACTAAGCAGAACAGAGCCCGACACACAGCTGAAAGCGTATGATAGCTTCCACCCCAGGAAGTGGCAATGACACAACTGCCAAGAGCCCTGGACTGCATTGAGAGTCTAACATGTCTCACGACAACTTTCCACAAATACAGCATCTATTGGAGTCTCCCTAGGATGGATGTAAGAACAGTTTATCTGTGAGCAAATGGTTGACTCCAGAGGGTACATAAAACTCTCGTTTCTCAAATAAGCAAGAAAGATGAAATGTCGACTCTTCTGCATTCATAAGGTCTTTCTCTTGTGTGAATTTTTATGCAAAACAAGTTAAAGAGCCACAGCTAGGGATCATTAAATATGGATGCATAGGCCCTCTCTTCACAGTGAACTTTGTGGTACTACATAAGATGGGAGCTCCTGCTATAGGCCTTCCCACAGACATAAAGATTTTCTCCAGTGTGTACTCGCTGGTGGAGAGTGAGACTAGCGTTTCGGCTAAAGAATTTCCCACCTTCGCCACATTCATAAGGCCTTGCTCCAGTGTGAACTCTCTGATGGAGAATAAGGCTGGAAATGTGGCTAAAGCATTTTCCACATTCACTGCACTTGTAAGGCTTTGCCCCCATGTGAATTCTCTGATGTACAATAAGGTTGGAGCTGTGTCTGAATAACTTTCCACATTCGCTGCACTCATAAGGCCTTTCTCCAGTGTGGATTTTCTGGTGCTTCACAAGGGTATCCTTACGGCTGAAGGCTTTCCCACACAGGCTGCACACATAAGGCCTCTCTCCTGTGTGAATTATCTGGTGCTAAACAAGTGTGTCTTTACAGTTGAATGCTTTCCCACACTTGCTGCACACGTAAGACTGTGCTCCTATGTGGACTCGCTGATGTTTAATGAGGCTGGATTTATGGCTAAAGAATTTCTCACATTCAGCACACTCGTAACGCCTTGCCCCAGTATGAATTCTCCAGTACTCAATAAGGTGGGAGCTTTGGCTGAAGAATTTTCCACATTTGCTACACTCATAAGGCCTCTCTCCAGTGTGAAATCTCTGGTGTTGAACAAGTGTGTCTTTACGGCTGAAGGCTTTGCCACACTCACTGCACTTAAAAGGCTTCTCCCCAGTGTGAACTCTCTCATGCTGAACAAGTGTGTCTTTACAGCTGAAGGTCTTTCCACATTCACTGCACATGTAATGTCTTTTTCCAGCATGGCATTTCTGATGCATTTTTAAGTGAGACAGGTGAATGAAGGCCTTTCCACACTTCTTACACATGTGAGCTCTTTCTCCACTGTGAATTTCTCCATGATTAAAAAGACTTAACTTCTGTTCAAACACATTTCCACATGGTAGGCATCTAAAGGAACTCCTATCAGTCTGAGTTCTCTGGCTGTTGAGAAGACCAACAGTATCTAGGAAGCCTTTTCCATTGTTGCAACTGAAAATCATCTGTCCATTGTGGTCTTCCTGGGGCTGGCTAACACTGGGGCTGGCTGGGAGAGACCCTGTGCACTCATTGCTCATGTATGCAATCACTTCCTTATGTGGAGTCTGGGGCTGGAAGAGGACAGTGTTGTCCACCAAGCCCATGTCAGCCTCTCTGCACACAACAGGTATCTCTAACAGATGGGCTGCACAGCTGTTCACAAAAGAGTTCCATCCATCATTCTCCACAAAGGGAATGTCTCTACAGTGCCGCTTCTGATGATGGTAAAGTTCTGCACTGAATGAAAACTCTCTCCCATGTGGCTTACATGTGCACACTTTCCGCACAGCATCTGAGCCCTGGTGTTCATCCAAGTGCAAAATGATTTTGAAGAGCATGTCATGCATCTTACATGGGTGGCCTTTATGGAAGAAAAGACCTGACTTAGTCCTGATCTGTGATATTTTTTCTACAGAAATGATCTGCTCACAACATGCCTTCTCACTGCCTGCTTCACACCAACAACCTGAAAGCAAAGAAATTTTTTTTTGTCTTTTTCATTTTTATCGGTACCAGGGATCGAACTCACGACCACCTGCTTGCAAGGCAGGTGCTTATGCTGCTGAGCTAAATCCCCAGCCCCAAGCAAAGAAATTTGGTGAAGAGCATGTTGATGTGTTGGGAAGAAGCTCTACTGTAATGAGAGTGTGCTGGCTTGCTAAAAGGACAGAGAAGTCAACATCAGTGTAAGGAAGGGCCAGTTTCCGGTACCAGGTCTGCAGAGATCTCAGAATAGTGAAACTCTGAGACAGGTAGACAGAAGGTGAATTGGATACCGGCAAAAGGGATACTTCCAGGACTGGGCTATTGGAGTCAATAACATTCTGTGCAGAAGGATGTGTCTAGGCCAACTGCTTACTGCAAGCAAGCAGTTTATTAGTTGATTCTTTTTGTTTTTTTGAGACATGGTCTCAATGTGTAGTTCAGACTCGCCTTGAGCTCACAATGTAGGCCAGGCTGGCCTTGAACTCACAGTAATCTTCCTGCTTTAGCTTGCAAAGTGCTGGATTACAGGTGTGCATCACCATGTCTGACTCAAGTAGTTGATTCTTAAGGACTAGGTAAGGCGCAAAACTCATGACACATCAAGGGAATCCAGTGCTGTACAGCATCACAGAGCAAACAAGGACAGTGAATGAATCATGGAGATCAGAGGGTGGCAAATCTGCCAAGAGACAGAAGTCAGGGGAGAAGTGAATGGGTAAAGGGTGAAGACTGGGAAAGGAAGAATAGGAATGAGGTGTTGCTATGAGCTTTAGCAACAAAACATTGCTAAACAAAAACAGAGAACAGTTTCCATATGGACCCAGTCCTAACATGACACCTGCCCCAGCTCCTATGCAGCAAGGGGAGACCTTCCCCAGCCCTCTTGCACTGGCTGAAGTAATGTCTGTGCTGCCAGACACCTGGACTTTCTGCCCTTCTCCAACTTGGCAATTACATAGAATCTGGATGATGAAGTTTTAAGGAAAACAAAGGACAGGTGAGTGGCCCGGGCAGGCCCACCCCAGTGAAGAAAAGAAAGTGTTATAACAGGGATCTCCAACTGGGTGGGTGGCAGAATAGCTCCAGGACTCCTATATGCAGCCACTACCTAGTTCCCAGTATCATGGCACAGGGTTCTGAAAAGCATGGTTTTAGTGTTTGAGAACTGGACACAAGACACCACTACACTAGAAACAAAGAGGCAGAGAGGGTGCCAGAGTGCAATTTATTAGCTGCTTATTGACAGAGCTGTGGACAAGGAGACAGCAAGACCAGTGAATCTGAAAGATCTGGGGCAGGGGGAGGTAGCTGATATCCTGGTGAGGAAAAATGTGACTTTATCCACCCAGACCTTACCTGGTTATCTCAAGCTAAGATCAAGAACATCTTCTGGGTGCTAATGACACAGGACCCAATTCTGAAGCTCCATACTATTGTGTGGCTTCCCTGATTTATGGTGTATAGGCAAACTATGTGAGAAAAAGTCCTATTAGGGCTACTTGGGTCATGGTGGCAGCAACTCAAGGTGGCTTTGCTCCAAACAAGCTGAATCCCTGCATTCTGCCTCTCAGAACTGAATCACACAATCTCACTTGCCTACCTCTTCTTCAATGTGCCCTGAACCCAGGAGGGGTTTTAGCATGGTGTGGGTGACATGGCATGTGGCTATTTGTCCACCATGTGAGCAGAGTCCACAGCTACAGCAGAGGCACATGCACAAAAACCAGTAGAGACTCACTATACAATGAAAATAAAGAGGAGCCCTAGGAACCAAACCAACAGCCTAGAGTATTACCTACAGGAGGGACAGGGCCATACAAGGCACAATTTGGGCTTGTTATCCAGGAAAAACAGCAAAAGACTCCAGCTGTGAACAGAACAATAAATATCTAGCAGGAACATGTTAACAGTAAACCTGTACCATTCAACATGACAGAACAGAACTGCAGCACATGGACCTGAGGCAGTAGAGCAGGTCACACATGGCCACCAGTCAGGTCTCCTAAGTGATTCCAAAAGAAAAGGCAACACTGGGCCAGGTTTTTAGCTCAGTGGTACAAACACCTGCCTGGCAAGTGCAAGGTGGTGAGTTTAATCCCTGGTAGCAGAAAAAAAAAAAGAAAAGAAAAAAGAAAGAGAAAAGAAAAGAAATAGCAACATGCTATCTACACTGTTGTAGCTTGGCATAACTGATGCCATCTTGAGCCCTGCATTTAACTAATGCCCTGTACTTGACCCAGGAAAATGGAAAATTACTTAGGGTACAAGTCCCATGAGAAAAGCAGAATGAGCTGCACCCACAGGAGAAAAATTAACTTGCTCAATAAAGAAGCAGGATACTGGTATCAGCCAAAGATTAATGTAAGCTTCTAGCTAATTGTTTCCAACAGGATGTCTTTTTGTGGTTCTCTGTTTTAAAAACACTGTAACTTTCCAGTTCAGGGCATTTAATGAGACTCTGAAACATGGAAGTTTCTATACGAGTGGTCCTAAGCTTAGCTAATTAAATTCCAAATTTATCAATTTGGCTGCTTGGATTCCTATACTGTTCATGAACCCACTTCACGCACAAGTGGATGGGTGCAGCCCAAGATGTGCCCTTAGAGCATGGGTCGCAATCACAGGTCCAGGGGCCAACAGGATTGACAGGGAATGTGTTAGCTGGGACAGACTCCACATACTGCACTAAGCAACAACTAACTCCGGAGAAAGTGGAAGGAATGAAGTTACCAAGCCTCTACTTAATTGTCCCTTCTTCTGGATTTGATGCTTGCAGAATGCAAACCAGCAGCATTCCCTCAGTCTCAACTCTGGCATCAGGGCATAAGGTATGGGAGTGTGTACTGCTTAGGGTGGGGTCCAGGGCCCTGGGGCGCTCATAAATGGCTGGTATGCCAGCTGTGAGGCTATCAAGAGTTTATCAGTGTTTCTCCAAGGACTTCAATCCAGCTAGCCAAGTTGGGTTTGCCTAATAGGATCCACATCTGTTGTTTTAACAAGCTGTTCCTTTGTTCTATCGTCCAGCTTCCTGAGGCTTACAGCACAGTGGGAAGTGGTATAGCCTGTGAAACATGGCCCAGTGCTAAAGAGCACATCCAGTGAAACAGGTGCCCAAACACTGCTTCACTGCACACTGGGTATACAACACACTTAACCTTGTGAGGCCTTAGACTCGCAGCTTGGTTAGTTTTCTTGCTGGGAAAGGTTTGCAGGAATCCTGTAGCTTTATCTATACAGACCAAAGCATATTTATGCCGTTATTTTTTCAAAAAAGCCAATTTCATCAAGCTGCCAGTCCCATAAGGGCTACACAGACAGATCTACTCCTGTCTGTGCATCGAACTGGGACAGAGGTGTACACACACCTGATGTGAGACAGCAGCATTTCAGGAGTGATCTGGCCTCTTGGTTATGGCCCACCCTATGTTAGCACTTTTCTGTCCACAACCTGGGGCAGGGGCAGGGCCTGCACCTCAGGGGAGCATCCGCCTGTCTTTGTAGGCAGCACGCATTACACAGTCAGCTGTGCCCCTGGTTCATGAAGTGGCTCCCCAGAAAAGCTTTCCCAGTGTAGACACTGTTCTCACCACTGTACATCCACAGTGTGTGGCCCAGTACACTGCCTAGCTCTCAGCACAGCCTTGCACATGGCTTGCGAGTTACTCTAGCTGGATGTGCAGATTTCCTTCCACCAATCAGAGGACGGCAGAGGTAGCTCATATCACAGCATGGTTCAGATACTTGGGCTCTCCCACTGGAGCCAGCTGTGCCTCTAGTCTTTAGTTGTGGGTGCCGCCCCCTCCTGTACTTATGGGATCATAGGTTCTGGGCAGCCAGTGGCAGCTTCATTGATAACAAGGCCAACACCATCACAGTTGGGGAGGTAATAAACTGTCAGACAGAACACTGTTGTAAATATTCAATGCCACTTGTTTAGAGTAGGGATCTGTGCCACAGATGCTGGCCCATGGATAGATGTGGTGAAACAGCCTATGCACCCCTTTCTCAGTAGGCCTGTTTGCCTTGCAACTGGAGACATACTGCTCAGTGACCACCCGTACGCAGTGCTAAACTGCTAAAGGGATGTTTCTAGCATCAGATCCCTTCTATAGCTGTGACCAGAAACACAGATGTAACTTTTGTCCTTGACTTGTCACCAGAGAGCCCACTTCATGCCATCCAGGGTATTGCATTGGCACACCTGATGGAGGTGTCTGGAACACATACCTGTGCTCTCGAAGTTTGTGCCTTTTCAAGTGCTTCCTACTGAGTCTCACTC